CAGTGAGCCATGTGTCTTTCATTTCATCAGATTTGCTAATAACATGAAGGCAAGCAAACAACACGCACACACCCTCAGTTAAATGAGACTGTTAGCAATCTTTCTACCATCTCTCCCTTGGACTCCTTTTCTATCTATCTCTATTCTGAGCATCCCTTTGTGAATCAATAAAGTCTGTCTGTCTGTTTATCTATATATCTTTTTTCGCTGTAGTATTTTTCTGCCTCACTCTTCTCTACTCTTTCTCTTTGTCTTTCCTAAATACAGCTATCAGTAGGCAAACAGATGGATGGTTCCTGACAAGCCCGCAAACACAAACAAATGCTAAATACCAGATAGATGACTACATCTCCTCATATTTACAGAAAAGGAGATCTGTCATTAGAGGTGCAGGAGGGCAAAATAAATGAATCAAGATGGTCGCACTCCCCGGAGAAAGTGAGGGTGAACAAAAGAGACAGAATGGAAAGTACAAAGAGCACATAAAAGGGCTCCAACACTGGTGTTATGTTAGGAATCTAGTATCATTCTCTGAGAGCTAAAGCTAGAACCGACAACTGGAGGATAAGAGTCTTTAGGAAATATGTGTGCAGCTGTGCATTCAGAAATATACAGCAATCTCAAACTAAAATTAGACTAAACTTTCTCAAGAATTTGTACTTTATGATTCATCTTGAGAAACTTTTATATCACAAAGCATAATGTTGTACTTTATACTGCACAACATTTCATAAGAAACTTAATACTGAGACACAGGAGCCAGCTGATTCTTTTCAATTAAATTATATTTCAAATTTCACTGAACAAATAATTCGTAGATTGGTTCTGATTGCATCCGTTTTTGAGTTGACTGCTCACTGGTTCAAAAGATTTTATCAGAGTTAGTGAATTCACTCAATTCACAAATCTGATTCAAGAATTTGCTCAAGAATGGGAGATTCTCAAAGCTTGAGTGTCAACTGATGGCGCGAAAAGCACTTTCCTTTTGCAAAATTGTAGGATTTATTAATGAAATTATGGTCACAAATGTCAGATGTTTATGAATTTAAAGGACAAGCCAGTTAAGCTCATGTTCATATTAGTGCTTTAGCATCTGAACAGGGTAGGATTAAAAAACAAAACACTCACATTAATAGATTAAATAACACAAATAAATGCAAATAAACCTTCCCTGCTGCTGTTGCAAATATTAATCCAATATGTTTTTATAGCATTCTTCTTAAAATGTTAACAAACATGTTTTGTAATCTCCGTTTTACGCTCTCATTGAATTTACATTACTTTGTCAACACTTTTACATACAATTTGTATAGGCTATACAGTACGTCAGAGATTCCCAAACTAGGGCCCGCTGGTCAAAGTTGGCCCATAGTAACCCTTGATTTGGCCCACCATCCCATCTGAGATGAGAGGGAGAATTATGAGGATGTTTTAGAGCAGGGGTCACCAATCTCGGTCCTGGAGGGCCGGTGTCCCTGCATTGTTTAGAGTAGACCTTGTAAGACCTTGATTAGCTTGTTCAGGTGTGTTTGATTAGGGTTGGAGCTTAAATCTGCAGAACACTGGACCTCCAGGAACAAGTTTGGTAACCCCTGGTTTAAAGCTGTAATTTCTAATTTAATGTAACCTATTTGTTTGTTTGTTTGCTTGTTTGTTTGTTTTATAAAGCTACAAAAAAGTTACTGATATAAAATGTTTCAATGAAATGTTGAGAATTAGGTACTGTCACTCAACGGATAGAAGACAATAGAAAGACAGTAGGGAACAAATGAAAACAAAGGCAGATTCTGCTTGTTTGTATTTAACATCGAACTCCACTGTTTTAGAATGTTTTTATTGTAATAAGTTATAATTAAAATGTATATTAATACAATTAAAATAAACGATTTTGATTTATTTTTTAAACATTATAAAAATAAATTAGCAATTACCAATGGCAGTTTGACTTTCGGCCTACAGCTCTCAATGATATTAGGTTTTTGGCCCTTTATAAAAAGTTTGGGCACCCATGAAATAAATTATTCTTTGATTACTTAATCAATAATAATCAGTAGTGCATAGTGTATTATCAATGTATTATTCATTCATTTATTTTCCTTTGGCTTAGATTAACAGAGGTCATCACAGCGAAATGAACTGCCAACTATTCAAGCGTTTGTTTTACACAGCGGATGCCCTTCTAGCCGCGACCCAGTACTGGAAAACACTAATACACACTCATTCAAACACGCACTCATACACTTCGTCCGATTTAGTATATTCAATTTACCTACTGTATAGCGCATGTCTCTGGACTGTTTGGGAATGCGGAGCACCCTGAGAAAAACCTATGCCAGAACTAGGGAGAACATGCAAACTCCACACAGAAATGCCAACTGACCCAGCTGATACTCGAACCAGTATCTTTCTTGCTGTGAGGCAACAGTGCAAACCCCTGAACCACTGTGCCGCTGATCAGTGTATTATCAATGTATAATCAAGTATTTGTAATAAAATGAAATGTTTTCTTGCCAGATAAACCTTCATCATTCAAGAGCAAGTGCAAGAATTATAAGGCATCTGCATTCAAGCGCTTGACTTGTGTAATTTGACTCCCAACAGAGACTATAAAAGAACATAATGCTCATAATTATAAACCTCTATCTGTATTTTACAGCCATTTGATTGTCACCATCATTACATGTTGATATCTTCCTTCCTCTTAATTGCTCACCAGTTAAACTGATATCGAGCATGAATTCAGTCTACTCCAATTACAACAGCAGGTGATAGTATAAATAATTCAAATCTCTACACATGTCTGTGCTGGACAGTTCAGCAAAGTATACTTACGCAAAGTATGGCATGTATTTGAGACGGTTTAAATAGATTTGACCATAAAAAGTCTCAGATTTCCACATGTCCACAATAGAGAATGCTTACAGTTTTTCCTGGTGTCATCTTTCCCACATGGTACTGTGGTCAGTCTATTTCGAACAAACCTTAAACGGCAAAGAAACCCTGTTTTGAATGGAGATCTGGAGTGGACATAAAAAAAAGGCAGAGATGTTTAAAAAAAGCTGTGCTTCTGGCAAAACACTTCGCTCTTAACAGACCTGCAAAGAAAGAGTGTATATGGCTGTTTCATAGTGCTTGTTGATCTCTGTGCATAAATTCTACCCACAGTGCATATGCTGGTTGTTCAGCTCAAAAGAGTACACATAGGACATCTGACATAGCAGCAAAGGCCTGCATAATTCACGCAGCTACTGCTTTAAGCTCCTTAAGTAATTAAAAGAAGTAACAAGACCGTTGGCAGTACACACAAACATTACATGAACGTGTTTGATTGAAGAAAGGGAATCATGATCACTGCATGAGACGCTTTCCTATTACAGAAAAATATCAAATTAATTATGAACTTTTTGAAAAGATTACTAAGTAACGAAATATCTTTAATTGCTCAGTCAATTTCTGACAGGTCACTGTGATTAAATAGCAAATAAATGGAAACTTTGGCTTTTTTTACATTTATCCACAGAAAAAAAAGACTTATTAAAGATTTGAGAAAACTCAAAGAAAACAAGTGCACATTACTGTAAGTTAATTAGCACTTGTAGTGTAGCTCCAAATCAAAGTATACATTCTAAAAACATATGTACATGTAGGTAATATTTAAAAAATATGTCATTGTAAACTATTGTGCATCAATAATCTGTTGCTTTGCTTTAAAGAAGCCTATTTTAATGTGCTGAGTAAATACCATTATATGCATTATAATTTTAATGAGCAGTTTGACAATATATTTAAAGCTAATTTTCATTAAATATGATAAATAGTATTTTTATAATTATAATTGTTCTATGGATACAAATGGTTTCAAAGATGCAGCTTACAGGTTTTAATAGAAATAAATTAGGGGTTATTTCAGTTCAATTCGTTCAGTACACTTTTAATGCTATCAGTACACAAATGACATGATGTCACTTCTGCAGGACAGCTTTTTCACTTATAATATTTTTTTTATTAATTAAAATTAATCATTATTAATATCATTTAAGAGAATGCATTTAAGCAATAAATTCAGTTCATTCACATTGTCTAAACTTTATGATTTTACTAAAATGTGCTCTTTTTCAAGATATACTAACGTGTGCTGCTTTTTCTCAATTTGTTTACATTTTTTTTTTTTACATTTTCTACACTGTTATTGCCAGTCTGGAAATTATTGTTTGACTTAACGCATTTTTGAAAGAACATTTGAGGCTGATACCCAGACAAAACAAGAGCTGAGCAATTAAATCTTTACCTTCAGATAAAGTGCAGGACGTCCTACAGCACATGATATCCCTATCATGCTTTTAAAGAACAAATCAAATCAAAAAGAGGGCGGTGTTGTTTTAATGTAAACATGGGTTGTTTTGACAGATTTGTGAATGAGAGATGTCTCCTCCAGATACAGTTCACCAAACTCCTCTCACACAGACAAGCGCGCGTTTGTTCGGAGGAGATCCGCGCTCCACGCGCTCGCTCAGAGAGCTGCTAGATCGTTTGATGCCTTTGTAAAAACGACAGCACATTGTATCGTTCACGAATAAGCAATCACGGGTTAACATAGAAACTTCAAACAGTGCGTGATTCAATATCGAGGACTTATAAGTGTGTGGGCGCGTGCAGGTGTATGGCACACAATAGGTGCGCTTCGGCATCAGCTGTCATTCTGGCTCACGTTACACGCAGGATGCTTCGGTAAACACTCAACCCAAACCTCTCAATACACACTGAAAATGTGCTTTGTGTGCTGATGGAAGCTGGGCGTAATGAATCTTTATGTCGTCCAAACATCCGCCTACATGCCCAAGATGCTTCATTAACCTGTTTCTCGACCTGATATGATTGAATTCTTGGAGATTTTGCCGCGCACCTTTTGACCGCACTTGACAGGGTAAGCAACCCAACATTTAACCTGAGTATGAGTTTTCGGGACAATTACACCAAAGAGGGGGCAGAGGGTTACTCACGCTGCTGTTTTCACCCGTCCAGTGGACCATTGCCTGGTTGTGGGTGGCATCCCCTTTAAGGACGAAAGAGCTGCTGAGCAGAGAGACTTTCTCCGGAGTCGATGCCCTCCGGACTCGGGGAACTCCCACGGCCGCTCCGCCCGGGTCTCCACTGTAATCTCCGCGGCTGTACGCTGAGATAAGCGCTTCATCTGTGCCAGTGACATGCCCACCGCGGCTGTCAAGCTCCCGGTCCCGTTCGCTTCTCTGCTTTATAATACCGCTGCTGTGACATGAAATCGGTCCTAACAGTGCCATCCACGCGCAAGCGAAAAACACAGCTGGGTACAGGTGCGCAAAAACTGCCATGATGAGCGTCTTCATTTAACACTGTCAAAGCGAGTGCGATGCAAGCGAAAGATGGAAAGCTCTAATGTAAGAGAGAGGGAGGGAGAGGAAGAGAGAAAGGAGAGAGAGGGGGAGCAGAGGGTGGGGAAGTAGAGCTACAAACAGAGCGCGCTCATGTGCTGGAGCCCAAACAGAGGAGACCGAGAGATGATCAGCCGTGCGCGTCCGCCACCTAGTGCTAGCGCGTTTGCTTTCGACCTCAGTCTAATTTAGAAAAGTGTGCACTAAAACAAATTCGGCATCTCTTAATTAATAAAAGACTTTGCTAAATATTACACAAAAGTGCAATAATTTAGTGTTATTTAAAACCCTATGTTCCTTATGTATTTTATCCTTTTAATAACGAATGTCTTTGCTGATATCAAATTCAAATATACAAAAATATAGTAATAAACAAAAAAGACGTTTGATTAGAAAAAAACTCGTTTTATTTTATTTATTTAAATTTGTCCATTGTCCAGTAGTCTACAGTTTGAGGGAAAGGTTTGTTTGAGCTGCCCCCTACTGTATAGACGTGAATTAACATTTCAAATTCCTCTCTTAGCCTTATTCTTTTCACTTTTGGTAGTTATCTATCTGCATAAATAATAAACATCGCTTTCACATGAAAAAAAAGTTATCAATTTTTATTTATTTTCTTTTATTTATTTATTATCATTGGCAATGAATTTTACATGCATTTCATAAGTTTATAGATTATGTTTTTGACTAATGTACTTGCAAAGGTTTTAGGTATGAAAGTATGAAATATCTGGCCAAAAACGTTCATTCATTCATTCATTTTCAGCTTAGACCCTTTATTAATCTAAAGTCGCCACAGCAGAATGAACAACCAACTTATCCAGCATATGATTTATGCAGCAGATGCCCTTCCAGCTGCAACCCATCACTGGGAATCATCCATACACACCTATTTACTACGGACAATTTTGCTTATACCCAATTCACTTATACCATGCTTTTGGACTTGTGGGGGAAACCAGAGTACCTGGAAGAAACCCACACAAATACGAGGAGAACAGGCAAACTCCACACAGAAGCACCAACTGACCCTGCTGAGGAGCAGAGGAAGGAACACAGGAAGGAGCAGAAAGAGGGAACGGATTGGCATTCATGATGAGAATCAAATTCAGTTCACCATGAACAGCAGAGTGTCATGTATCGAGGAGAACAGAGAGGGCAAGGATTGGCATCTCAAGGTGGGAATCGAGCTCAGATCACCACGAACAGCAGAGTGCCATCTGTCAATGGAATAACCACTACACTACTGGCTATGACAGTTTAAACTGTATTTAAATGATGATGATGGTCCAGGATCAACACTAGTAAACTTGCACTGTAGTTTTGGAGTTGATAGGTTCAGCTTTAATTGATAGAACAGTAAAGAGAATACAAAGTAAGGATAAGAGAGAGGGCAAAAATTGGCATCTCGAGGTGGGAATCAAACTCAAATCACCATGCTCAGTAGAGCGCCATGTGTCAACGCACTAACCACTACAATTTACTCTCCTTTTAAATGACAGTGATGGTCCAGGATCAACAATAGTGAATTTACACTGTATTTAAATGATGTCGATGGTCCAGGATCAACAATAGTGAGTTTACACTGTATTTAAATGATGATGATGGTCCAGGATCAACATTACTGATTTTACACTGTATTTAAATGAGGATGATGGTCCCGGATCAACACTAGTGATTTTATACTGTAATTAAATGATGATGGTAAATTCCCTGTACTTTTTTTGGGGGGTGGGGGGGTGGGGGGGGGTTCACCTTTAATTGATAGAACAGTAGAAAGTATATAAAGAAAGGAGAAGAGAGAGGGCAAAGATTCCCACCTCGAGGTGGGATATGAGCTCAGGTCACCATGAACTGCAAAGTGCCATGTGTCAATGCACTAACTACTACACTACTGGCACTGAAAATAAATACAGTATTCAAATGATAGTGATGGTTTAGGATCAACTTTGGCAAATTTACACTGTATTTAAATGATGATGATGGTCCAGGATCAAAAATAGTGAATTTACACTGCACTTTATGGGGGTTTTCACCTTCAATTGATATAACAGTAGAGAGTATATAAAGAAAGGAAAAGAGAGAGTGAACTTAAACTATATATTTTTGATGGTTTTCACTTCTAATTGATAGACAAGTAGAGAGTATATACAATAACAAGCAGAGAGAGGGGATGAAGGATTGACATAGGACTTCGAGATAGGAATCGAACTCAGTTCACCATAAAAAGCAGAGTGCCATGTGAGAATGCACTAACCACTAGACTATTGGCACTGAAAAATTTACACTGTATTTAAATTATAATGGATCAACAATAGTGATTTTAAGCTGTACTTAAATGATGATGATGGTCCAGGATCAACAATAGGGAATTTACACCATATTTAAATGATGATGATGCTCCAGGATCAACATTAGTGAATTTACACTGTTTAAATGATGATGATGGTCCAGGATTAACATTAGTGACTTTACACTGTTCTTTTTGGGGTGTTTTCACCTTCGATTGATAGAACAGTAAAGGGTAAATAAAGAAAGGAGAAGAGACAACACAAGAATTGGCATCTCAAGGTGGAAATCGAACTCGGGTCACCATTAATAGCAGAGTGCCATGTGTCAGCGCACTAACCATCACACTACTGGTACTGACAACTTACAGTGTATTTAAATGATGATGATGTTCCAGCATCAACAATAGTCAATTTACACTGTATTTAAATGATAACGATGACCTAGGATCAACATTAGTAAATTTACACTGTATTTAAATGGATCAACAATAGAAAAATTTACAGAGTCACGCCGCACATGCGCACGAGAGAGAGATAGAGAGAGGAGGAATCTTTAATAAATCTATCATTAAGATATAAAAAAAAAGATAAGCAGCTTATACAAAAACCTGATACATGCGTCTTTTTGCCTTTGTTTGAAAATTTAACCTCTTTAATCGCTCTAAATGTAACAATTTTCCACCCTGATTGTGCTCAAGGATTACTTCAGGCGATACACATGAATCAGGAAAAGCACCACATTTGCCACGAATAATATACAAAAAGTACATTAATATTTATTTGAAGGGCATATTTTGATTTTATGAATTGGGCTTGTTTTGGGGTAGTTTGATTGGCCGTTGGGCTAGTTTTGATTGGCCGTTGGGCTACTTTTGTTGTGAAAACCTGTCATCAAAATACATCTAAAGTTATCATGTTATGTTAGTTATAGCAACATTATGACTATGAGAATCATAAAATGAAGTTGTTGGGACATATTTAGCCAAAAAAGACATCTAACCTAATTTTAGGTTATTTTGGGAAATATTTTCACGTTCATTTCCAATATAGGGAGTATAAACATTGATAAAAGCAAAACTACTTTTACCTAACGTTGTCTTGGTAATGTAAGGTTCTATATGCATTAAAAGATTTTAAGATATTGAGCTTTAAAGTTTTTGCATTCTATATAGCAAGAAATATGTCTGTAATAGTTCTCTTTCATACATTAACAGGACAGAGACCCTTAAATTACTCTAAATGTAAATTATCAAAATTCTTCTCAATATGCAAGTTGGGGTAAAACAAACAGGGCAAATAGAGAGAGCCTTCTAATTCTAAAAAGTCATTTCTTACTTGGAATTATAAGGTTCTATTTGGCAGATCATTAACTGAAGCATTTCTTTTCAACAAATACAGTCTGCTTATTCACTTAATTAAAGAAATAAAAATTGGTGTTGTAACAATATGTTGATGTTCGAGAAAGTTACATTTTTGATTTATACAACATTCATCCAATTATTTATTTTCTTTTCAACTTAGTCCCTCTATTATTCTGCAGAAGAGCGAACATGAACTGGATAAGTTGACAGTTTATTCGGTAACACTTTACAATAACAGTACATAAATAATGATGAATCAATATGTTTAAGTTTATTATGAATTAATGATGAGTTAAGGTATGCACTAGTTATGAATTACCTATGAATTAACAACTCATGAACTCCTGTTTATGTTGATGTTGACAGAAAACTTATCTGGTGTTATTCAGTGTAAACTCATAAGTTGGACGTGCATAAGGAGTTCATAAGTAGTTAACAATGGGTTAAGGATGATGTGCCCCTTCAAGTAAAGTCACAACATAATTATACATTAGCATATCATTCATCATGAGTTCATCATGGTTTAATTAAGCATAAACTAATGTGGTAATTAATACATTAATTAACAAACAATCATATACTAACAAATATTTAAGGTAGCCGTTATTCTTACATGAACTCATGCGAATCATGTTGAAGTTAAAGTTGGTAATGATTAGTGCGCAACTTAACTCATCATTAGTTCATAATAAAGTAATGTTTAGTTAACATAATAATACATAATTATTCATGTACGGTTATTGTAAAGTGTTACCGTTTATTCTGCTGTGGAGACCCCAGATTAATAAAGGGACTAAGCCGAAAAGAAAATGAATGAAGGAATGATTTATTTTCAGTACTGTGTGAGTCAAGTCTAGCTCCTTCAGGTCTAAAAAGCAAAAAGAGACTCAGTTTCCTTGTTGACTGGGAGACTAATCTATGGACATGGGTGCTCTTGATCGTGTGCCTGATTTTGGAATATGTTTGCAGATAAATTACAATCCTCAAAAAGCTTAAATCGGCTGACTTTTCTCACTGCCCTATCATCAGGCAGTGACTCTGAATGCAGCATTTGTGCACAAAAGGCACCTCGGAAAGCTGATTTCTGGCAGACCTGAGACAGCAGAACGATTTAATTAAGTACAACACAATAGAAAGAGCATTGGAGATAATTAAGGCAAGTAGTAAAGGTTTACTACATTAATATGTTCTAGCTAGAAAATACCATATATTGTTGAAAATGTTGGTCAAAAACATACATTCACACCCAAACTGACAGCTAAGCAGCATGTTGAGAAGCCATCTTTATTTTTTAGCTGTCAGAGATGGAAAGCGCTACAGAAAGATTGTAGGATATCGAAGACAGCAAAGGTACATCTATGCTGCCTTCGAAATTCCATCAGGAGAAACCTCCAGAGACAGGATATAAAGTAGAATTTGGATTCGGACATGCCGTGGTGCCTTCCTGACTTGGAATGCTGCCTCTGAAGCAAGCATTTTATAGCTTTTGATGCAGTGCATTGTGGTAACTAATGCGAAATGACATCACTTTCAATGTACCAATGCTGGCCAATTTCATGCAATTTTAAAAGGAGGCTCATTGACAGAATGAATAACATTTACATTAAACTGGGTACTAGAGCAATTCAAAACAGAAAAAAGTGAAAGACATGGGATGTAGTTAAGTATGGTGACCCATACTTGAAATTTGTGCTCTGCCCTTGGAGCAGTTGGGGGAATCAGTGTCTTGCTCCAGGGCTGTGGTATTGAGGCAGGTGAGAGAGAACAGAACCATCCCTAAACTTTTACCACAAAGGCGGGTGCATGAATTTGTCAGTTCCTTTCACTGGAACTGAAGTTACATCCCCACATCATACACCCCACCAAACTTTACACTTGACACTGTGCAGACAGAGACGTACCGTTCTCCAACCTCTAAATGACTTCAATTTTGTTAAAATACCCCTAATAGTTGTTCGTGGAATATTATGTAGTAGGCCTGAATGATAAATCGACATGAAATTGCATTTGCAATTTAGCAAAAGCTGCAATTGTCTTGTACATCATGTGAGGAAAGTACAGAGTCACACAGAACAACCAAATATGTCCAGAAGGAAACCAGGAAATACAAGTCTATGGGAAATCCATATAGTGTAGGATAATGACTCAAAGAGATAAATAAACACATGACCATGACAACATAGAGTTTATTTAAAATATGTAGATGCAACACTATTCTCTCTGTTTATTAGAATGCTATTGTGAATTATGTTGCATGCTTTATTCTGTGTAAGTACACAATGTAAATTATTAGTGGCATTTGCACATGCTTTCAGGTCTTAGTTCACCAAGAAGCTACACAAACAGCTGCCAATATCGCAGAATGATTATTTGAGATTTGACTGATGTATACTGAATTGTAGCTCTATACTACATAATTCATGTTAGAATTTTAAAAATAAAAAGCAGCCTATAAAATTAATCTATAATATATATATATATATATATATATATATATATATATATATATATATATATATATATATATATATATATATATATATATATATATACTCCATACTTCAAAAATGTATCATATCCTGAAATTGTTTTTCGAAATCAGAAATAACGTCAGACAACAAAATGCACAAATACAAGCTCACTACAACAACTCCTGAAGCAGGTCAACTTGTACAAATGCAGACAAAATGTATGGCATAATCACAGTTTATAAACAAATTGCTTACAGACACAGAAGCGTCTCTATGAAATAAAATATGAAATTTCATATGAATTTCAATGGGAAACTTTTGGAAAACTTCCATCTCATGGAAACGTGTGAAACTGATTCACTGAATGTCACTGAGCCTAAATCAGGAAACAAATTGGGATTTCCCTACCTCAATCTACAGTTGACCTGCTGTCCAAGAGACAGACAAAGCTGAGGCACAGGATTACTGTCCTAAATTTAAAGAGTAAACAAGTCAGCTGTCTGCTTAACAGAAGATTCAGGCATTTTTCTTTGTATTTGAATACAGACAAGCTTTTTTTATTATTGCAAAAAAAAAAAAAAATTGAAGAAATGATACATTAAACAATAAGCCTTTTTATATAGATTCCATCATTCGTGTTACTTATGTCAGTGCATCTCTTTTAACATTCGCTATTAATATTTAATAGCCTATATCATGGCTGCATCTACATTTTACATTATTCAGAGAGCAAACACGTGGGATCCAGTCCAGTTAATTACAATTCCTTAATCATATTATAGATTTATTCATGTGTGTTTTCTTAATAATCGAACATAGAGTGATGTAAAATCCTCATGTTAGTTGAGTAATGGCAGTATGCGGTAACCTTCAGTGGGCCAGGCAAATACCCCGTCCTGTGTCACGTGTAAAATGTTTCGACCTTCCTCTCAACCAAACTACAGAATTGCGTCAGTTTAGACTGGGACGATTATTGGTCCTGCCCGACAGTCGTGAAAGAACTGCACATGTGATTGGTTGAATGAGACGACGTTCCGTGCGTGTGTCTCATCTTGGACAGTCAGTGAGTAAAGATGGCGAACTGGTGCGTGCGCGCGATCAGACACAGCTCTTCAATCTTAGCGTCCCCTTCACTAGTAAGGTATGTTTCAGCTTTGCTAAGGCGTGTTGTTGATGTCAAAGCTTGGGTAATTTTTTGGGTTTTAAGGAACAAATGAATGAATGTTCTTGCTGTTGCGTAAGCTGTTCAGAATTGAATGATTCGTGCTGATGTTCAATGACCATCAGTTTACCTTACTTTCATTTTAATGACAGTTTGTGACAGTCTTGCGTGTTGCCCTGCCAAATACACTTACGTTTTTTTTATTAGTCAGAAGTGATCATTGATAACGCAGTGAAGTTTGCTTTACTGGTCTTTCAGGTCTGTCCTATTGCATATCTTTCTTTACAAAAAAGTATGTGACCTGAGTTTAGGATGTAGGTTTCAGTTGTATTATGCTTTTTTATTGTAAAAGAAAATAGTTTTCCCTCCTTGGCATGTCAGTGACAGACTTGTTTCCGACACGTGCTTGTGTCAAAGCTAGATCTGAAGACTTACTGGTGTACAGTACTGCCAGTGTTTCATTCTCCTAACTGATATTTTTCAGTTATCTCGAATAGGCATGGGCCGGTATGAGGTTCTGACAGTATAATAACCTTGAAAAAAATATCACGGTTTCACGGTATTGTGATTACTGCTTCAAAATATATTCTTTTTAAATGTCAGAGTAAAAAACAACTGTTTCCCCCCTTTGAACACAATAACTTATATCTTATTTTGAGAAGCATTTAAAGTATTTTGAAGCATGTCAGGCTGAAAAATAATTATTCATCGTCTTCATTAGTTACAAAAACACTAATTTCTTTAAAATTTAAAACAGCATATTGGGTAGCTTTTCTGCTGAAGATACTATTGTCCCAAAAAAAAAAAAAAACATAAATAAAAACATCTTTCATATACCTTAGGAACGGTATAGCAGAAAATTTTGGCGGTTTTAAAAACTTGACTTTTCCGAGTCGTGGTATACATTTGAAAACGGTGTTTTCCTCCCATGCCTAATCTCAAATCCCATGTATTCGAAATATAATTAAGCCATTCAAAGCATAAACCTTTTTTCTGTAATTCATTACATGCTTAGATCTAAAGCTTAAAATATCTGTTTAGTGTTGACAGCTTCACATGCACTGTAAAAATCCCACCTAGCGTTACTGATATATTGGAAGTGAACAGTTTAAGTTGTAACACTACTCCCTGTTAGATATCATTAAGACATTATATTACCTCTACATAAACTCCAAGTAGGAATCAATTTTGCAATCTTTTTAAAGTCGTTCATGTTCCAAGTTCTGACAAAAAAAAAATCAATAAATATTTTGAAGTGGGAAACCTGAGCTTTTTTAATCTATAATCTATCTTTTATCTTAATAGTTAATCATAATTAATCAATAAACTGTCTATTAAATCCACTGTTTAATAAAATATGATATAATTAAAATACAGTAGGGTTGTCACGGTGGCGCGGTGGGTAGAACGATTGCCTTACAGCAAGAAGGTCGCTGGTTCGAGCCCTGGCTGGGTCAGTTGGCATTACTGTATGGAGTTTGCATGTTCTCCCTGTGTTTGTGTGGGTTTCCTCCGGATGCTACAGTTGCCCCTCACAGTCCAAAAACATGCACTAAACAGTAAGTGAATTGAATAAGCTAAATTGGCTAGGTGTGAATGTAAGAGTGTATGGGTGTTTCCCAGTGTTGGGTTGCGGCTAAAAGGGCATCCGCTGCGTTAAAATTGTGCTGGTAAACTGGTCTGTTGATTCTGCTTTGGTGACCCCTGATTAATAAAGGGACTAAGTCGAAAAGAAAATGAATGAATAAATGATAAGGAAATAATAGATAATCTGATTCAGGAATCTAAAGTCTAGTAAGTCTAAAATCTGGTATTGAGTATGTACTACTTGTCAATTTGAGCTTCACGGCCCTTAGAAAAAAAAGTCTATGTAATGCAACAATTAGTGAAGATTTGAGTAAGAATGTGGTCTACTGCATCCACCATGATGTTATTAGCATAAGACATTAATCTCAGTTATGATGCTGCTCTTCCATTCATAAATTTTCTCCTGTGAACTCATGGGATAGAAAAGTGTCCATTGGATGTGCGAATAACATGAATTAAGACAAACAGCCTGGCTCACACTTTTTACTTGCTGTTCACTTTCTGTAAATGTTAATTTCTCTTTCTGCATTTACGAGTGCAACTAACACTTGTCAAAATCTATTCAACAGCTGATGGACAGAAACAAGTCCCTGCACTACTCTTTTTGTCCCCTCAATTCAATACCCTGTTACTCTTCTATTAATGCCACAATTTAGAAAAAATGTTATAAATTCCGTTTTATTGATTGAGCTTCTAAAAAAGGATAAAATACCTTTGCGCCTTTCAAATAGACTTAAAGAAAGAAAATGCTATTTGAGTCTTTTACATTAGACCAGTTGCATAAACATTGTGTAAAGCATAATCTTGTGAATGAACATTCTGTCAAATTTGAACTTCTCAGGGCGACTCCACGTCTGCTTTGCACAGCAGCCCAACAGAAAAGCTCAGGAGCAGGTACTGAAGAGGAGAGTGGAGCTCAGAAGCAAGAGCCTGGCACAGCTGAAAAAGCCTTCTTAGAAGAAAAGACACAACTGGAGGAGCAACTAAAAGATGTTACGGTAAAGCTGCATTCAATTCTGACCAAAAAAAGTTTGTTCTTGCATGTAATGTCTCTCTTCTACAATACCTGACATTCATTTGACCTTCATTTGTTTTTCAAGGACACCACAGCCCCTTTAGTTTCCACAGAGACCAAGGATTGTTTATGTGTTTGGTGTTTAAACGAATGCCTGTTATATGTGTAGTGTACTTTAAGTGCAACATACATTTTCAGATTAGCGATGCTCAGAACTTGTAAACAAAAAACTATAGATCTAAAAAAATGGTTCTCTCACATTACTATGAATAGGGGAAAAGTATAATGCTCAGTATGGCCACAGAAGTGAAGGAAGTCCTGCCTTCTGGCCGAAATAGCAAATTGTCTTTATAGCCGCACTGTTTTGTGGGGAAGGGTCTGTTCAGATTTGCTTGTTTGTTACAACAAGCCCTGTCATTTTGTGAATACTGGGTGCCTGCGTAGATTTTCACAGGAGAAAAAAACATCCCGGCACATCCCATCAGATATGATGTCCTCCTCCAGTATTTGCGTATTGTATTTTGTCCCTGTTCTTCCTGTTTTTATAACTTGTTAACACTGAAACATCCATTGAGAAGATCAGTGTCAAGCCAATTTTTGAGCATGGACTGTGGCTTGAGCAAACTGGAAAGGACGAGTTTTATACATCTGTAATAGGGCACGCCACCTCAGATTATGTTTCTGATTTGAATTATGTTATGATCTAATTGCGAGCTCTACAAGATTTCTGGATTCCCCCATTCATTTAGATTAGACTTTGGTTTTGGAAGAACTGCTCTTTACTATTGCAGTAATGACTGCTGTGTGAACAGACTTTCCTTGAAAGGGAACTGCTGTAAATTAGCTGTAAAATCTCTGACATTTTCAGCCCAATCTCTTGATCTGCATCCCAAATGGCACAATGTACACTATACACTATGTACTAATGCACTTACACACTCAACAGTAGAGCTGCATGATTCTGGCTAAAATGAGAATCGCAATTTTCGCAGTCTTTTTTCGATTAATTGTGCAGCTCTACCCAACAGCATAGTATGTGAATGTAGTGTCATCCCAAATGAAACACTAACGTTGTTTTTACTTAGCGGAAATTAAAATCATTTCCTCTAATAGCTTCCATTTTAGTGAATAAATGACCAAAGTACTAAATAATCCCTGCCATGAGTACAGTATATTCGCATTCACAATCGGGAGGTGTTATAATCACTCTAATATGAGAATACTGCTTTCATAATCCAAAATAAATAAAGTAATCCAATATCTGTGCTCGAAAGCTCCACCCTATCCACTACGTAAGCAAAGCAGTGGTGCGTTGAGGGTGTGAAGTGTCCATCATTCCACACTTTAATTTAACAGTTGAATAAGTGCATCATCTGGGTATTCAGAGTGCACTTTTTATTTTAAGAGTTTTTAGTGTGAATGCACTACTTGCACTATTTATACTACATAATGGCGTAAAATAGTGCATGCGATTTGGGCTGTACTTATTGATTCTCTACACCAGGCCTATTCCTAAAATTTACAGTACCTTCCTGAATAATTTAGATGCAGCTTTGATCGAATGCTCCTGTCTTTAATTAGCAAGTGCTCCTGCAGATTCTACTGAAGTCTGGTTTATACTTCTGCGTCAAGTGACCGGCGTAACCCACGGCGCATGCAACGGGCGTAGATGTGCATGTATACTTCTGCGCGCTGGTTCTGCCCCTCTGCAATAACACTTCCGAAACATTAGTTGGCAGTGATGTGTTTATGTTCCTCTGTGTCGAGTTTCTTCGCTGGGGTTTTGTTTTTTCTGAATGCTTCCTTAATGTACAAGTGGCTCAAATTCACTCATTTTGAGGCAGGAACCGGCAGACGTGAAACAACTTTAAACATGAGGTAAACACAAAACAAATCTTTCCATCCGGAGCTCGTTCAAAGGACTCCACACTTGTAAACAATCGCTCCATCGGGCTCACGCTGCTCTCGGTCCCGCCTAGACTCGTCAGCGATACCAAGCCGACCAATCACAGAACTTGCACTACGCGTCGTTGCAACGTTTAGTTACATTTTTTGAAAGGTGCGAGGTCATCGACACTGACGGCCACAGCGTAGGGCTACGCGTAGGCAGCATCATAGCATACGCGTGCGCTTTATGCAGAAGTATAAGTCAGCCTTTAGTTGGTTAAATTACTTTTGATCAGGGTTGGAGCTGAACCCTGCTGGAAGGTAGATCTCCAGGGACAGGATTGGGAAGCCCTGCTCTACACCAACCTAGTCATTTCTTTACGTATGAAAAAATTCACAAGGATCATTACAGTTAATCAAGTCGATTTTCTGTTTAAACGTTTGCTTTCTTTCTAAAATTGAGTCAATTTATTGCCGTCATTAAAAATGTTATTTGTCAGATTTTTTGTTTTGTTTTGTGTTTTTTAGCCAAGGGGAGTAGTTTTAATTCAAGATGTCACTAGCTGATCTCAAAGATCATGAGCTCATCTAAGCTATTTCTTTTACATGTTCTGATAGCATAGGCTAAAATAAATCCTTTAGAAAGGTGCGAATAAACTGTCTGCAGTGTGAGATGAAAAAGTCCAGAATCAGTTTGTTATGTTTCTATCATATATTGATAGAAAGTAAATGATAAATCCGAATAACGTCACTGATTTCATTTATTGGTAGATGTGTTCAAAGCATACCAGCTAGTCATGGGGGTTCCTCAGGGATCAGTTTTTGGACCCCCTCTCTTCTCAGTTAACACCACTGAAAACAAGTTAACACTTGTTTCCAGTTTAAATCATTGATGCTTGTATATGAAACAGCGACATCCTCTGCACCACCACTTGTTTCAAAAGTCTACAGCCCCTCCAGAACCCTCCAGTCAATAATTATCACCCATGGTACCATCACAGAGAGGCCCTCTTTATTCATTGCTGATGGACTGACCCTTGCGAACCCAAACAAAGTGGCAGCATTCAAACAGCAATTGAAAGCTTACGTCTGTTTTGACCACCTAATTAGATCTTAAAAAATTACATAATAAGTTACATAACAATAACATCAGCTAAATAAACAACACATGACATCTGCATACACATCAATGTTTAAAGCTTAGGTGTAATTGGTGTTTGAAAGTTCAGCATGCTGTATTTTGGGGTTTATCATCTGATCATTTGGTTGTCTTTTTCTGCAGGATAAATATAAGCGTGCACTGGCAGACACTGAGAACCTTAGGCAAAGGAGTCAAAAGATGATCGATGATGCTAAGCTTTATGGTAAGCTATTGTAATTATTGTGTAAGCTGCTTTTAAAATGACATTTCCAGATTTGCTTGATTAATTAAATAATTCTTTTCTCAGGGATACAGGGTTTCTGCAAGGATCTCTTGGAAGTGGCTGACATCTTGGAGAAGGCAACAGAAAGCGTTCCAAAAACTGAAATATCTGCTGCTAATCCACATCTGAAAAATCTTTATGATGGCCTTGTAATGACTGAGGTGCAGATCCAAAAGGTCTTCCAGAAACACGGCCTTGTTAAGCTTAGTCCCGATGGTCAGAAATTCGACCCGTATGAGCATGAGGCAGTCTTTCATGCACCGGTGGAGGGCAAAGAGCCAGGTACCATAGCTTTAGTTACAAAAGTAGGCTACAAGCTGCACGGTCGTACCCTCCGGCCAGCTCTTGTTGGTGTAGTCAAGGCTCCCTAACCGATCCTGCACACTGCTTGGTTATCAACTGGTTGGTTCCTATAAGTTAGCTGAACTTCAGTTCCACTTTCATTTGTTAAAGATGCCTCTAAGAGGTGAAATCCAATATACAGACAACTGAAGGACAATGCCAGACTTCTTTTTGTGATTTCATTATAATTATATATATATATATATATATATATATATATATATATATATATATATATATATATATATATATATATATATATATATATATATATATGAAAGCCGTGTATGTGGAATTGACAGAATTTCTGATTGGCCACAGCAATATTTTCTGGAGGATCATCACCATTCCAGAGACCTCTGAGATCTAAAGAAACACTGCAGTGTATTACATCTCAAACATCTTAAAGTTCTTATTTGCTCTTATTAATTACTGATTATCAGTTTGGTGATGTTTTACAACAGTTGTTAGATTCCACTTTTGTTTTGTCAGTGTTAAGCAGGTTTTTCAGTTTGTACAAGGTAATTAGTCTTCTATACAGGATTTGGATTAACATTTTATCTTAAAATATATTTATAATTTCAGAATAATTTTCCTACTTGCTGTTGTACTTTCTAACTTTCATGATTAGTTTCATAAAGTGCAAACATGATGAAATGTCACACTTCAATCAACAGATTGTAATAAAAACTGACTTGGTTTTTGTGGAGATCTGAGAAAATAAGGATGGCTTGAAAAGATCACTTGACAGATTTGTGTCTGACAAAATTAATGTAAATGGTGGTTGTAATATGAATAGAACAATGCTTTGCTAAAAGAAAATTGGAACATAGTATATAAAGGTTTTTGGATTCAACATTTCCATGTATGTAAACAGGCAAACTCTTATCAAATAAAGCATGTACCTCTTCATTATCATATCATCTATAAGTGAAACTTTCATAAAAGAATATAGGCTCAGTTTCACAAACAGGGCTTAGTTTAAGCCAGGACTAGGCCTTAAAATAGAGTATTTTGGCCACTATATAGATTTCTGGTGTCCATCTTAAAACGATGCACTGATGTATTTTGAGATTTCATTCATTTTCTTTTTGGCTTTGTCCCTTTATTAATCAGTGGTCGCCACAGCAGAATAAGCCTCCAACTTATCCAGTATATGTTTTAAGCAGCAAATGCCCTTTCAGCTGCAACCCATCACTGGGAAACATCCATACACTCCTATTCGCACACACACACACACACACACACACACACATACATTACAGACAATTTAGCCTACCCAATTCACCTGTACCGCATGGCTTTGGTCCTGTGGGGGAAACCGGAGCTCCCACAGGAAACCCGCACCAACATGGGGTGAACATGCAAAATCCACACAGAAATGCCAACTGACGCAGCTGAGGCTCGAAAAGGCAACCCTCTTGCTGAGGCAATGGTGCTACCAACTTCACCACTGTGATGGCCTTATTTTGAGATTTGTCACTACAAATTATTTTTATTTAAGACAGCTCAAACATTTAGTCCCGGGCTAGTCTTAAGCCTATTATGTGAAACCAGGACATAATGTGTTAATGAATGTATCTCACTTAAACAGTGTTAAATGCTATTTATAAAATACCTTGCAAGATCCTACTTAATCATAATGGTATTAATTCAGGTTCCTTAAAATGTAGGTAAGAGAATAATTTTGCATATTAATGGACAAGAAGTCAAAGTTCAACATTTTAATACAAAATTGGAAAGAACATGACATATGGAGTAGAAGACTTTCACATACTCAACATTTTCACAAATAGGATCCTTCCAAAATGGACTGTTTGACCCGAGAACATTCATGTCACAAGTAAACAAAAAAGCCGCCTCTGATTATTTTTTAAATGTAATTTTCTTTATAAAAATTGTATTAAAAAATGTACTTGCAATAGTGTCTTTCCGTTGTCATTAGCATATCCCCACTTACATTAGAAAAATAATTACACTATCTGAAATAGTTTTGATACTGAATTGTTATTTGACATGTAAATATTAACCCTTACCTAAACTGGTTGATTTTTCCTCAGAATTGACAAATTTTTAGCAAAATTAACCTTAAAGAATGGCTTGGGTACTTTGACCAATAATCGAGTTTCCTATAACCATAAGCACCGTGAAGACTAATCCTTTCTAGAAATAAAAGCTGCTCAATACAAATAAAATGAAGGCATGACCAAAAAAACAAAACAAAAAAACACCTCACCAAAAGAAAAGACCTCTCCCGTAATCTCCTTATTCCTAGTTTCATTAGCAAAGACTCGTCATAGCTGCAAACTGTCGCACACAGTAGCTAATTTGTCCAACATTTACTGTGTGTCTTGGCATTAATAGTATTGAGTGTAGTTAGATCTATCATAGAAATATGAATTAAAAAAAAAAAACAAGCCGACATCTAAAATATTTTTGATGTGGTACTATACAGTTTGATATTAAAATACAAAGTCACTTTCCAGAGAAGGAAATAAAAAGCATCAACCAGGTAAAAGGCACATAACTTACTCAACTATGAGTGTCAGTTTTAGGATTTTATGTCATGTCTGAGGCAAAAACAGCACACTAATTAAACGTAGACGACCATTTTAAACAATTATTTCCATACATAAAACCAATGTCTAAAAGTTATTCTGAGCCTATCTATTCTACTTGACTCTTAATATATTAAATATTTCAAAAAAACTAAATATTTTAAACCTTTGCATTGGCCTCTGTGAACAGTGCTTTTCTTAGTTTTCTTCAGCTTTGGGGTAGACGCAAGCAGTCAAAAGCAACATTAATATTCATGGAAAAATAGGTTCGTTTTATAAGTTTTGGTACTGCATGAAGATTGAGGCATTTTTTAAGTATGTAGTTGTAACATACAGTCTCAGCTTAGAAGAATTAGCCTTGATATTGATGTATTTTAGCTTCATCCATCACAAATACAAATAATACCCTCTTGAAACAGGAACATCATGGCAAATGTTCTCACTTTGAGATCAGAGCTTAATGTAGTCATCAAACTAATACTTCAGCCTGGTTGTGTGCCATTTCACTCGAGCTTCTGAAACATGCTCAATAAAAAAAAGCTAAAGTAACATAACCTCACAAAGGTCAACTCCAGGAAAAATAATCATAATCAAACTTGAACATCTGACGTTAAGATAATATCGAGCATGCGTTATGGGTCTCACATTCCCAAAATTGACAAAAACAGAATATATTCAACTGAAACTGGCAAATTCAGATTAGCGTCAAACTTTTGGCAAGCAGAACAACAATCTGTCCTTATTACAAAACCATAAACTCTGAACCAGTTTTAAAGAACTGCTTTGTATAATATTTTGTTGGCAGGGAACATCGAGCGCCACTCAAAAAACACATTCAAACCAAAGGCATTATAAAACTGGGAAATGTTTGTTGTTGTTGTTGCATTATGATGTATTACACAGAACAACATACTGCAAAGTTCCCTTTAAGTACTGATGTACAATTTTTCCATGTTTCCATTCCTATGATGAGATTCGAGATTAAAGACAGACAATTTAGACCACATCCAGTAGTGCGGCACCAACAGCCATTTTGTTCTCACATGCTTTTCATAGTCTCAGTATAAAACATTAGAAAAATATATTTACAGTCATTATTCATACAGCCAGCTCTTTAGACAGTGTCATTAGGAGGCATCTCGAGATATCCAGCCACTCTCCGAAAGAAAATTCAGAATCCGTTTTTTCAGCACCTTGTCCAGGTAACTGGGCAAGCGGCTTTTGGAGGGAATGCCTTGCCTTTTCTGTAGATGATCTTTGATTATGATAGTCTTGACTGTCAGATAACGCATGGGACTGAGGTTCATGGAGTTGCACAGTACTTTCTCCCTATCGGATAGCAGCTCAAATCCGGACAGGTTCTCAATAGCTGAAAACTCACTGTCTTTCCCTTCCTCTTTGATGGTACTGACTCCGCCGCCTCCGCCAAGCCCACCTCCTGCTCCAACACCTCCTCCAAGACCAGCTGTTCCTCCTCCTCCACCACTGCTTCCTCTCTTTGACCCGGCAATACTTTTATTCTCTTTCCGCTTTTCCCGTTTGTGGCGTGCTGCCTCATACTCTGCTGACTCGTCAAGTCTTGTAATGCCATTCCGCCGATACCGCTGAAGCTCCCGAACCTTCGCTCGGAGCATCCGCTCTTTGTGCATGTTATCGAAAAACTCTTCAAACTCACGTTGTGGCATGAACTGACAAAGGGCACGTAGTTTGGTCCGCTGCTCCTTCTCCTCCTTGGTGATTTTTCGTTTCGGTGTCGCTGCTGTAGAGGAACCCAGCGGCCCAGCTGGAACGACGGTGGCACCGCTCCCCGATCCCACAGCTCCACCTGGACCCCCAACCCCTACTGTTCCACCTGCTCGCTCTCGTTCTTTGTCTTTTTTGTCCCGTCCCAGAAAAGCTGGCACTAAATTGTAGTCTCGAGCGATGTTTTTGCGGCGCTGCCGCTCGCGCAGTTTACGCACGTACATGTCCACGTGGGCTCGCTTCATTTCGATCTCGATATCTTCATCGTCGTAGTTTACAGAAAGGCCACTGATGAGTTTCTCAGCCTCCTGGTCATACTCGATCTCATAGTCATCACGAAGTGGCATATATCCAAGCTGCTGCTGCTCCACCACTGTTATGTCTAATGGGGGCAATGGGGTGGTCAAACTAGGTGACAGAGGACCTCCGCTGGGGCAAGTGTGGTCTGTCACGCGGTTAGGGATGCTGTCAGGGATGCAAGCTTTTCCTAGATTTCCATGAATGTACATGCTCACGTAATGGTCCATGACCTCCTGAGGGGTGCGTGATGCACCAACATGGGCTGCCATATCCTCCTAGCACAAAAAAAATGAAGAGTTAGTTCATCCAAAAATCTGTTAACATTAATTCAGCTGTTTCATTACAAACTTTCACTCAAAACTCAAATGAAGATGTGAACATGCTTCTTCAGACGATTTGGATTAAAAAAAATAATTCATATGGATAACCTTTACAATGTTTGATGAATTTTTACGTCAACAACAAAGATACAAATAGATTTCAGAGTTAATTTAAAATACATAATATTTTTTAACTTGGTGGGTAAATGGTGGTGGAATCTTTTTTATTTTTGCAAAAAAATCCTTTAAAGATACAATTATAATGTGAAAGTTACAAATACAAACATAAATAATTTCTTTTAACATTACACACATTTTGACAAAAAAAAATCAATGTTGTATTTAAATAAGCAACTAAATTTATAAATAATTTAAGTCAATGAATTACTATATACGAGACTGATTATGTTCCTGATTTGTTATTTTTGTTATGTTTGTCAAATTTGAACCCAGACTGATGCAGCGTGTAACTTTCGATTTCTTAAACCACCATGTCAGAAAATGTATCCAATGGCTGTATTTTTTCCAGGATGGCTTAAGCTGTGCAAAATAGGTTCATTTTGACAAATGAATTGACCAGCAGTTGAGCTAAAACCAGGGTTGAAACGTGCTTGTGTAGACAGTGTCAGTGCTATCTGTTGATGGCGCTTCCATCATCAATACACAATGAATGGTCAAAGAGTAATGCATCCCTTGATAGAAATAATCTTTTAAATTGCGCAATGTTTGAAACAATGCCATGATGAGTAAACACAATAATCTAAGATAAAGACGTTCCTACAATCTGATCCTCATTTGCACCACTCAGTAATGTCTACTCCACATCTCTACATGTTCTAATAGACTATGCTCTATGGATGGTAAGTTCATGAAGCCTTCTACCACAATGTAAGCTGGGAATGACCACAGCAAACGTCTTCCAACGTGATCATTTAAAAAGGGATGAAAAGAACTGTTGTCAAACAAAGCTTGGCAGAAGCATTAAGAATAACTGCAATGAAAATGCAATAACTGCTTAATATTATTTACTTAAATGGAAACAATACTCCCTTTTTATTATGCAAATATACAATAATGTGCAATGCTAATATTAATGCAATAGCAAAAGCAGCTGTTTTCAATAGTTTTCTGTATGAATTATCTACAGAATGCAGTTGTTATGATTGACAAAAACTATAAATGAGTTGTATTTTGGGTTACATATTCTATTAAATTTATAGGCATCACAAACCAAGGAAAGCTGCCTTACGAAAATAGTTTAAGTTTCTATACTAAGAAGTGCATTTTGTGTTGCAGACTAAGGTTAGATATGGCTAGTTTATGTTGACGTGCACAATTAGGCAAGGCAAAGGCAGCTTTTTATGAGCTGCATCCATGTGTAATTATTTTGAGAGTCGTACCCAATTTCCAAATCCATATTGCTCGATGGCATCGAGCAGCGACTGCTCTTCCCTGCTGGTCCATCCTCCCTCTGCTTCGGGACCCCAGAGCGAGAAGCGCCCGCCGTCCACTTGCTGATAGCCGTGCCATCGTCTGTGGTTGCCGATTTCGGCGCCCGCCGAGAAGCACTCCGGGCAAAGTTCAATATCTTGACATTCAGCACAGCGAATCCGCAAATTCGTAACATCTGCCAAGCAGTTCACGCAGTACTTCTTCCCTAGGTCGGCCATATTGCTTACTACCGCTTGTTGTTGGAAGCAGCAGTGGCGCGGGGCAGAGCATGCGCAGTGGAGTATCTCTGCTCACGCCGCTGCGTCTCATTAATATTAAAAGCGGCGCAGCGAATGCTTGTGATTGGCTCTTGCTATAGGTGTCCATGGCAACACGTACGAACACAAAATAGTTGATGCCAGCGCTTCTTCAAGAGCTCAAGAGAAACTACATCGAACTAATCTTGATAAACGCAACCTTCTTTAAGACGTAAAATGGAAGAGGAGTCATTAGAGTACACTCACGAGGAAAGCTTTGTTTTAGAAACTGACACACTAATGGAAAACACTAAAACCCTTGAAGGTCCTGCAGACGCAGAGCAGGTCATGGAGGAAGAAACTGAGGAACCTGAAGCTCCTAATAATCCAGAAGCTGTAGAGGAAGATAAGGCCGAGCAGCTCTTAACAGAAGACACGTCTGTGCCTGAGACCAGTGAACAACAGACCGGTGAAATCCAGATTGAGCAACATTTGATAACAGAAGAGGACCCCCTTATGAATGAGACTTTGGAGGACACTGAGGGTCCTGAAACAGAACCATCCCTTGAAGACTCTGAGGATGAAGAAGAAGAGGAAGAAGATGAGGAGAATAGTCTTCCAGCTCCTGAGCCGGAGAATGAGAGGTCCATCAGCCCTCCTGAAGAACCACAGGCTCATACAGAAGATGAGGAAGTTGACCCCAGCATCATCAAGGAAAAGATGGAGCTGCTGCATAAACTACAATCAGAGAACGAAAAGCTTAACAAGATAAACCAACAACTGCAGACCAGAATAGCAGAACACTTTAGTAAGAAGAAAGGGGATCAACATGTCAAGTTAGACGAGGATATCTCAGAGCAGGAGCAGTATGAGAAGTACATGCAACTGATAGCGGACATGAAAGAGCAGCAGCTGCATTTCTCAAAGCTTCACCAGGAGCGGATGGAGGATCTCCATCTACAGAGCTCAGAGAAACTCAAGCAGGTGGAGCAAGAGCTGAGATTCTTTGCTGCACTGAAATATGAAACTGTGATGAAGGCCTCACTGACTGGTAAGGTGGGCAAACAGGAAACACTGGCAAAGGTGGAGCTGCTGAAGGCGGAGGAATTGAAGCAGGAGGATAAGTTGGTTTGTGTGCGGCTCAACAATATCAAGTTGAAGAATAAAATATCTAAGTATGAGAGGGCGCTCAGGTCTAAACGGGAACTGGTGGATGGGCTCCTGCTGATGGACTTTGAGCAGCTCAAAACAGAAAACCAGTCTTTCATGGACAAGCTGGAGGAGAGGAGTGAAGAGCTACATCGACTGAAAAAGAAGGTCGCAAGCTCTGTGCAGGTAAATCACTGTGCTTTAATTCTAAGTAAAACAGTGTATAATATATACACCACTGGTCAAAAGTTTGGCTTGGGGTCAGTTTTAAAAAAATGTTTATTTATTAAATGTAAAAAAAATTGTTAAATATTTTTTACAATTTTAAATAACTGCTTTTTTATTGTATGTAGTTTCAAATGAAATTGTTAGGCCAGTCATTATTGCTTTTATTATTATTACCATTAATAATAATGATAATGATAATTAATATTAGAGTGATTTCTGAAGGATCATGTGACTCTGAAGACTAGAGTAATGAAGCTGAAAAATCATCTTTAAAATCACATGAATAAGGGATTCAAATAAAAGATAAACTACTTTTGAACAGTTGTTTTATAGTGCAATACCATTTCACAATTTGAGCAGTATTTTTGATTAAATAAATGCAGCCTTGCTGAGCAGGATAAGCTTATTTAATTTAATTTATATATATATATATATATATATATATATATATATATATATATATATATATATATATATATATATATATATATATATATATATTAAATCCTACTGACCCTAAACTTTTGACCGATAGTGTATGTATCTAATACCCAGGATTAAGAAATACATCTTCAGATTTCTCAGAAAAACTCCATCTTGCTTTTTAAATGAATCTTTTCTGTGGGGTCTTACGCAATAAGATAATTAGCAAAATCTGCTTTATTGGTTTTATGTTGGATTAGTGAGTGCCAAAAGCAAAAGTGGAACAAAATCATTTAAGATCATTTAAGACAGGGGTCACCAACCTTTTGGAAACTGAGAGCTACTTCTTGGGTATCGTTTAATGTGAAGGGCTACCAGTTTGATACACACTTATAACAAATTTGCTCAATTATTATTAATTAATAATATTCATCTATGTGAAGACACGGATTATGTTAATGATTTCTCACAATCGTTGTCAACATAACTTGGAAACAGATAAATATCAATATGCAACACTTAATTTGTCTGAAATTGTTTTTAAAGTTTTTTTTAAATATATAACTTAATGTCATTTTCAATTTTACACCAATGCAAGTGTGATTTAAAAAAATAGCTACAAAAAACTATTAGATGCAGCTTTCTGGTATGTGGTGCTATGGTTAGCTAATATTTTTATAACAGGCCCACGGGCAACTCATGTGATCCTCGCGGGCTACCTGTCGGTGACCCCTGATTTAAGATAAAAAATGAGTACATCCAAATTAAAGAGGAAAAACATAAATATAAAAAAATAAAATAATGAGCATATAAATATTAAGTTTAGTTTAAGTTATTAAAATATCATTGCATGTGAATTAAAATGTATTATTTTTCTTATCTTAATGATTTTAGGTGACCTCACACACACACACACTTATATTTACATTTACATTTACATTTAGTCATTTAGCAGACGCTTTTATCCAAAGCGACTTACAAATGAGGACAAGGAAGCAATTTACACAACTAAGAGCAACAATGAATAAGTACTAAAGGCAAGTTTCAGGTCTGTAAAGTCTAAGAAGGGAAGTGTTAGTAGTTTTTTTTTTTTTTTTTTTTTTTTTTTTTTTTTTTTTTTTGTACAATTAGTGTGATATTCAAAGAGGCAATTGCAGCTTAGGAAGTGAAGTGGAGACTAAATAGTTGAGTTTTTAGTCGTTTCTTGAAAATAGCGAGTGACTCTGCTGTTCTGATGCAGTTAGGGAGTTCATTCCACCAACTGGGCAGATTGAGCGTGAGCGTTCGCGAAAGTGATTTTTTCCCTCTTTGGGATGGAACCACGAGGCGACGTTCATTCACAGAACGCAAGTTTCTGGAGGGCACATAGATCTGCAGAAGTGAGTGCAGATAAGAAGGTGCTAGGCCAGAAGTCACTTTGTAGGCAAACATCAGAGTTTTGAATTTGATGCGAGCAGCAACTGGCAGCCAGTGCAAACGGACTAGCAGCGGAGTGACATGTGCTCGTTTAGGTTCATTGAAGACAACTCGTGCTGCTGCATTCTGGAGCAGTTGAAGAGGCTTGATAGAGTTAGCTGGAAGCCCAGCTAGTAGAGAGTTGCAGTAATCCAGTTTGGAGAGAACAAGAGCTTGAACAAGGAGTTGAGCTGCATGTTCAGATAAGAAGGGTCGGATCTTTCTGATGTTATAGAGTGCAAATCTGCACGATCGAGCAGTTCTAGAAATGTGGTCAGAGAAGTTTAGTTGGTCATCAATCGTTACTCCAAGGCTTTTCACCATTTTGGATGTAGTAATGGTTGCCCCATCCATCTGGATTGAAAAGTTATGGTGTAGAGTCGGGTTGGCAGAAACTACAAGCATTTCCGTTTTTGCGAGGTTCAGCTGAAGATGATGATCTTTCATCCAGTGTGAAATATCCAACAGGCAGGCTGAGATACGAGCTGGAACCGAGGGATCATCAGGATGAAAAGAGAGGTATAGCTGGGTGTCATCAGCATAGCAGTGGTAGGAGAATCCATGTCTCTGGATGACTGGTCCTAGAGATGATGTGTAGATGGAGAAGAGAAGTGGCCCAAGAACAGAGCCTTGAGGTACCCCAGTGTTTAGATGCTGTAGGTTGGACACCTCTCCCCTCCAAGACACCCTGAATGACCTGTCAGAGAGGTAAGATCTAAACCATTGTATAACAGTGCCCGCAACGCCCAGTGACTCAAGCGTAGATAGCAGGATCTGGTGGTTGACAGTGTCAAAAGCAGCTGACAAGTCCAGCAAAATGAGGACTGATGATTTAGAGTCTGCTTTAGCCAGTCTGAGATCCTCCACGACCGAGAGCAGGGCAGTCTCAGTTGAGTGGCCTTTCTTAAAGCCGGATTGCTTGTTGTCCATGAGATTGTTTTGAGTAAGAAAGTCCAGGACTTGATTGAACACTACTTTCTCCAGAATCTTGGCCATGAATGGAAGCAGGGATACTGGTCTGTAGTTTTCAAGTAGCGTATGGTCCAGGTTGGGTTTCTTTAGCAGTGGGGTTACCCTAGCCTGCTTAAATGTAGTGGGGAATAAACCAGAGTCAAGAGATGTGTTAATTATGTGAGTCAGTGTTGGTATGACTGCAGGAGAGATGGCTTGCAAGAGATGAGAGGGAATGGGATCGAGTGGACAGGTGGTTGCATGGCTAGATAGCACGAGTTTGGACACCTCAGACTCAGAGAGCTGAGAAAAAGAGGTGAGTGTGTGTGGTGTTGGTGTTGTATCTTGCGTGTTTGTTGTAGGTGCAGCAAATTGAGCACTGATTTTTGCAGTTTTGGTGCAGAAGAATGTAGCAAAGTCATCAGTAGTAAGTGTGGAGGATGCGGGTGGAGGAGGAGGATAGAGGAGGGAGGAAAATGTTTTAAAAAGTAGGCGAGGATTAGTGGCATTGTTGATTTTTAGACGGTAATACGTCTGCTTTGCAGAAGTAACCTCAGCTGAGAAAGAGGACAGAAGAGTTTGGTATGTTAAGAGATGTGCAGGATTTTTAGTTTTCCGCCAAATTCTCTCTGCAGCCCGAAGTTTTGAGCGATGCTCACGGAGAGCATCCGAGAGCCAGGGTGCAGGAGGACTGGCACAGGCTGGCCTGGATGCAAGAGGACATAATTGGTCTAGACATGATGCTAGTGTGGAGCAGAGTGTATTAGTGGCACTGTTCGAATCAAGTGCAGTGAGTTTGCGAGATGGAGGAAGAGAGTCTGAAACAATGGTGGATAGTCTATTGGGTGAGAGAGATCGTAGGTTTCTGCGAAAGGTAACCAGTGTTGGAGTGTGTGGCGGCTCAGGAGTAATGTGGATGTTGAGAGACAGAAGGAAATGATCAGATATTTGTAGTGGAGTTACTATTGTTTGATCAGTGAAGCAGTGTCGTGTGTAAATAAGGTCTAGCTGATAACAAGGGCCGAAACTGAGGCGGACGACGCGAACCGCGTCTGCGTTCGCTACACAAGCTCTTATAGTAACCAAGGAAACAGTGGCTAAACAACTTCTAGTATTATACACAACTGAAAGCAAGTTTAAATGTCCTACAACTTTACACAAACAGCTGGAAACAAGTCCTCAAACCATACACAACAACTGAAACAAATCTTAAATGTACTTACAGGCTGCTGTTCTAGATGCTGCTAAAGTGCTTCTCCTGCCGACTAATGCTACCGTGCTCACTATATAGTGGTTACCTGGCGTTTGGACACGCCTCCCGAGTCAAAACAAGGGCCGAAACTGAGGCGGACGACGCGAAATCTTAAATGTACTTACAGGCTGCTGTTCTAGATGCTGCTAAAGTGCTTCTCCTGCCGACTAATGCTACCGTGCTCACTATATAGTGGTTACCTGGCGTTTGGACACGCCTCCCGAGTCAAAACAAGGGCCGAAACTGAGGCGGACGACGCGAACCGCGTCTGCGTTCGCTACACAAGCTCTTATAGTAACCAAGGAAACAGTGGCTAAACAACTTCTAGTATTATACACAACTGAAAGCAAGTTTAAATGTCCTACAACTTTACACAAACAGCTGGAAACAAGTCCTCAAACCATACACAACAACTGAAACAAATCTTAAATGTACTTACAGGCTGCTGTTCTAGATGCTGCTAAAGTGCTTATATAAAGTTGAAGTCAGAATTATTTGCCCCCCTTTAAATTTTTTTTTCTTGTTTTAAATATTTCACAAATGATGTTTAACAGAGCAAAGATATTTTCACAGTATGTCTGATAATATTTTTTTCTTCTGGTGAAAGTCTTTTTTGTTTAATTTCTGCTAGAATAAAAGCAGTTTGCCATTTTTTTAAAGTCATTTTAAGGTCAAAATTAGTAGTCCCTTTAAGCTATATTTTTTCGATAGTCTACAGAACAAACCATCATTATACAATAACTTGCCTAATTACTCTAAACTGCCTAATTAACCTAATTAACCTAGTAAAGCCTTTAAATGTCACTTTAAGCTGTATAGAAGAGTCTTGAAAAATATGTAGTCAAATATTATTTACTGTCATCATGGCAAAGATAAAATCAATCAGTTATTAGAGAAGTTAGAGAGTTAATAAAACTATTATGTTTAGAAATGTGCTGAAAAAAATTGTCTGTTAAACAAAGTGGGGAGAACAAAATAAACAGGGGGGCTAATAATAGTTCTGACTGTATATTGTTATAAATGTTTTGTAAAATTCAGCGATATAAATTGTGCAAATTTAATGAGAAATTTATAAATATTCTAATTTCTGTGTACGTATGCTAGTCACTGTAAATCGTTTTGTTTTTGCAGTGGTCATCAGATGTAGGTTAAGTGTCAACAATTAATTACATATAAGGGGATATAAGTGACGATATAACATGACTAAATTTCACTTATAAAAATTAACAATCTATCACTAATGATTTAAATTATTTATAATTAATAAATCATGTAAGCAGCTGATTTATTTAGGCTAATAAGGAAGGTTAGTTTGATTCACATAAAAATAATCTGTAAAAGAAATTAATTGAAGTAAACTGTGTTGGCTCAGAATAAGCGCTTGTTTCTCGACCCTCACCATCAGGGCATTTCCCATGTGAAAGAGAAGCTTCATTTCATGCAGATGGAGAATAAGGCCAAACACACTCAACTGGCGCAGACAGACACACTGGTGGCTCTCAAGCGTGAAGTGCTGACACGAACCCGACAGGTCCGCGATGGCCTGCGCACAGATAATCTGAAGCTTCAGCAGCGCTCTGGTTTAATGGGAAACACCACACTGCTGCAGGACTATGAGGAGAAGATGGACACGTCTGAAAACCTCCAGCAGAAGCTCGAGATGCTAAAGAAACATCACGCTGAACTCTCAATGAAGTGTGCTGGAGTCCAGAGGAAGATTAAAGACAGCAGATTAGAGAGACAGTGACCCCTTCAGCCAGCTGTTTCTGTGCTTTACATCATTTATTGTCTACATAACTTCACATAGCATCTTTTGCAAGACAATAAAGTTTATACAATGATGAATATATGTGGAATACAGAGAAATAATGTCATTTATATATGAATACACATACAAAGACATAAAGTGCTCGAAAGAATCAAAAACAGTGAGACTTTTGACCCTATTCTGCAATGCTATAGTATCTTTTTTTTCTGCAATTGACTACAAATAATAAACTGGAATAAACGCTCAAGCTAATTTTTTTCTACATACATGTGTATTCATGACAACACATTCATTTTCCTTCGGCTTAGTGTATATTTCAGAAGTCACCACGGCAGAATGAACCACTAACTATTCCGCCATATATTTTACACAGCGGATGCCCTTCCAGCTGCAACCCAGTACTGGGAAACACCCATACATTCTCAAATTTACACATACACTCATACATTACAGGCAATTTAGTTTATTCAATTCACCTATAGCACTCGAAGGAAACCCACGCCAACATGTGGAGAACATGCAAACTCCACACAGAAATGGCAAACTGGCCAGGACTCGAACCACAACCTTCTTGCTGTGAGGCGACAGTGATAACAGCTGAGCCATTGTGCCGCTTCATATAATGAATAAAAATGATATAATAAGAAAATACCTGTTGGCAACATTACGCTAGATAACAATATTTTCTTTATGCCTAAAAATGAATAGAAGTGAATGAAACAGGAAGTCTAGAGCCAATAATGTTCCAATGGTTGCATCTGCTTTTACCTGAAAGAATAAGGTCAATAGAAAAAAAGGGTTTTCCCCAAAGAATCTATTAGGAAAAGTTATTTTATTGGTCAGTTTTGCTTTGTGAACTTTTCCATGAAACCAATAATAAAGAACCAATAAAGAAGCTTCATGTTTGTGTGTAATTGATTGTCTGTACTGCTTATTTTGTGACATCAGTACATGGCATTTTGACATTCATTGATGTTAAAGTTAATTAAATTCACCTAAACTATAATAAATTAGTTTAAAGTCCTTACGGAGGTTAATGCTTAACAAACAGATTATATCAGTTAATGGATAATGCCCAAGCTGTTTTAGAATCGTTATCTTTATTTTCCAAGACACTGACCCCTTTAGATGTACAGTTGAAGTCAGAATTATTAGCCCCCCTGAATTATCAGCCCCCCTGTTAATTTTTTTCCCCAATTTCTGTTTAACATAGAGATTTTTTTCAACACAACCTTAAAATAGTTTTTAAAAAATAAAAAACTGATTTTATTCTAGCCTAATTAAAACAAATAATATTTTTTTTCCAGAAGAAAAAAACATTATCAGACATACTATAAAAATGTCCTTGCTTTGTTAAACATCATTTGGGAAATATTTAAAAACGAAAAAAACTCAATGGGGTAATAATTCATTGACATTGTGTTATAGAGAATGTTACATCCAGGTTACAACGCGTGAAACAAAGTAAACTCCGTATAATGTGTTAATGACTGACTACAACAGGTATTACACAGACATATGTTTAAACATTACTTTATATTTTTATGTATGAATAAATAAATGGTTAGTATGCTCACATTGCTTAAGCTAAACACCAGACAATTGCATCTATAGTGTGGCCAACTTGTTAACTGACCTTTGTGTTAAACAGTTTAAACTAAAAACGTGAGACTATAACAAATGTTTTATTTTATGTGAGACTTCACGGCTCTATCACATACAAGAATACTCAAGCTCACCATTTTCCTGTGTTGTCTGAAGGAAATAAAACCAGTATCTTGGCTTGAAAGATTGTCACTATGTTTCTTTTAGAAGGGCTCATCCCTATGGCTTAATCAACCACATTCCTTTCTATTTTTTAATGATTTTTATTATTCTACTAATACTTCCAAACATGCTTTTTTGTTATTGATGTGTTGATGCAGATATTGGATTATCTATAGATCAATGCTTCCATCATTTTAAAGACTGACATGTCTCTTTCAGTGACACAAGTCAGCAACCAGGGCATCATGAAATAGTGGTTCCCAACCTTTTTTTGTTTGAGACCCCCTTTTTCCCTGGACATTATTCAATTCAATTCAATTCAGCTTTATTTGTATAGCGCTTTTAAAATGTAGATTGTGTCAAAGCAGCTTCACATAAATGGTCATAGTAACTGGAACAGTGTGGTTCAGGTTTTAGTGTTTAAGTTCAGTTCAGTTCAGTTTAGCTCAGTTCAGTGTGATTTAATCATTACTGAGAGTTCAAACACTGAAGAGCAAATTCATCGATGCGTAGCTCTACCAATCCTGAACCATGCAAGGCAGTGGCGACAGAGGAGAGGGAAAAAAAACTTCACCTGATGGGAGTGAAGAAAAAAAACCTTGAGGGAACCAGACTCAGTTGGGCACGACCATTTTAATTTCTCCGCTGGCCAAAAGTCTTGTGCAGAGCTTCATTCGCCGTGGTTTAGGCTGGAAGATGGCCTCAGCGAAGACTCGTCTGTCCCTGTAGCGTCGCTGGAATCAGACTCATGTTCTCCACTCCCCACGACCATCAGCGCAGCAGCAGCTCAGGATATGGCCTGGTCCCGGATATGGAATCCTTGGGATCATCACGTCGCTGGTCTTGGATCCAATCAGTGACTCCGCATAATCTGAGGACCTCGGGATGAGTATCCCCAGGTGAAAATAGAGAATAAAGAGAATAATTAGCGTAGCTGCGGTTCATCGTGTATATAAGCAAGATACAGAAGCCTGTGTGGAACCCGCTAGGTGATGCATTGAGTGTATGCTTTACTAAACAGATAGGTCTTTAATCTAGTTTTGAACTGGGAGAGTGTGTCTGAGCCTCGGACGTTATCAGGAAGGCTATTCCAGAGTGTAGGAGCCATGAAAGAGAAGGCTCGACCTCCTTTACTTGATTTTGCTATTCTAGGTACTACCAGAAGCCCTGAATTTTGAGATCTTAAAGAGCGAGTTGTATTGTAGCGAGACAGAAGGTTGGTTAGATAAACAGGAGTTAGATTATTTAAAGCTTTATAGGTGAGAAGTAATATTTTAAATTCAATACGAAACTTAACAGGCAGCCAATGTAAGGAGGATAAAATTGGGGTGATATGATCATATTTTCTAGACCTGGTCAGAACTCTGGCTGTTGCATTTTGTACTAATTAGTTTGTAATAGAGAATGCTGGGCAGCCAGCAAATAGAGCATTACAGTAATCCAGCCTCGAAGTCATAAAAGCATGGACTAGCTTTTCTGCATCAGAGATGGATAGCATATTTCTTAATTTAGCAATATTTCTCAGATGAAGGAAGGCAGTTTTTGTGACATGGGATATATGGTTTTTAAAAGTTAGATTGCTGTCTAATATGACACCCAGATCTTTTATAGTAGAGCTAAAACTAACTTTGTATCCCTCTAATTGTAAATTGAGTTGCGAGATCTGCTGTGTACAAGATTTAGGCCCAATAAGTAATAATTCTGTTTTGTCGGAGTTTAAGAGAAGAAAATTGTTGGTCATCCAGTCTTTAATGTCTTTGATACACTCAGTTAGTTTAGAAAGTTGAGACGTCTCGTCAGGTTTAGTTGAAATATATAATTGAGTATCATCTGCATAGCAGTGAAAGCTGATCCCATGTCTTCTAATAATGTCTCCCAGAGGTAGCATGTAAATTGTAAACAGCAAAGGGCCTAAAACTGATCCTTGAGGCACCCCATACTTTACTGGGCTGACTTGTGAAGGCTGTCCATTAATATTCACAAACTGCTAACGGTCAGTTAAGTATGACTTAAACCATTGTAGAGCCTGTCCCTGGACACCTGTAGACTTTAAGCGATTTATGAGGATATTGTGGTCAATGGTATCAAATGCCGCACTAAGATCGAGTAAAACTAATAGCGAGACGCACCCTCGGTCAGCAGCTAAGAGTAAATCATTGGTTATTTTCACTAAGGCGGTTTCTGTACTGTGGTGAGCCCTGAAACCTGACTGAAACACTTCAAAAATATTGTTCATCTGCAGAAAAGAGCATAATTGAGTGGAAACAACTTTTTCTAGTATTTTAGACATAAATGGAAGATTTGAAATAGGTCTATAGTTAGCTAAGTTGTTGGTGTCTAGTTGCGGTTTCTTAATAATAGGCTTAATAACAGCTAGCTTGTAAGAGTTTGGAACATGGCCTATAGATAAAGCAGAGTTGATAATGTTAAGAAGAGGTTCTCCTATAGCAGGTAGCAGCTCTTTCAGTAATTTTGTTGGAATTGAGTCCAGCATACACGTAGCTGGTTTAGAGCTATTTATAATTTTTACTAACTCTTCATGTTCTATGATTTTGAAGCAGTGTAGGTTATTATTATTATTTAATGAAATATTTACAGGATTTGGAGTATAAGCCGGTGCAGAAAGTTTGGCATCTCCTATTTTCTGTCTAAAGCCTTCTATTTTAGTACTGAAAAAATTCATGAAGTCATCACTACTAATTTGCGGTGGAGTAGTTTGTTCCAAGGATGACCGATTATTTGCTAATTTAGAGATGGTGTTAAATAAAAATCTAGGATTGTTATGATTATTTTCTATCAGTTTGCGCAGGTGCTCGGTCCTGGCAGATTTTAGAGCCCTCCTATAGCTGGACATACTGTCTTTGTACGCAATTCTAAAGACCTCTAAATTAGTTTTTTTCCATTTACGTTCCAGGGCGCGGGTTGCTGTTTTGAGCGCACGAGTATGACTATTATACCATGGTATAGGTAGATAACATAGGTTTTTGCATAGTATCTGGAAGCTGAACATTAAGCGATAATACTTCAAAGGAGCTAAACATAAGTCCGTTACTCTGTTTAATATTAAGGAAATCACTAAAGATTGATGCAACTCCACCACCACGACCAGTTTGACGAGCCTCATGTTTATATAAGAATCCTGGAGGAGTTGCTTCATTTAAGCTAATTTAGTCATTTTGTTTTAGCCAGGTTTCAGTGAGACAGAGTGCATTAAGATTGTTTTCTGTTATTATTTCATTAATGATAAGTGCTTTAGGTGCAAGTGACCTGATGTTTAGGAGACCAAGTTTTACGAAATTTGTATTTTCACTTTCAACTGGTTTTTCTGGTTTGATTCTTACTAGATTTTTTCTGGAGCACACAGTACGTTTATTTCTTAATCTAATAATACGAGGAACAGACACAGTCTCTATAGGATTTGCCAGATATGCGTTACTGATGTTTAAGTGGGGTGAACAAGAGTCTAGGTGGCTATAATGTGAATTTTGTGAATTTTTACCTGCTAGTCAGATGGTGCGAAGTAATCTGGAGATGTTGTCCGACAGGAGTTCAGCTCTGGGTTAGGCCGTCTGGGGTGCAGGCCGTCAGGACGGAAGAGCCTAGGACGCTCACAGAAAAGATTCCAGTTATTAGCAAAGAGCAATTTCTGTTCTTTACACCATGTTATTAGCCATTCATTCAGAGCTAAAAGTCTACTGAACCTTTCATTTCCTCGGCGGTAGGTAGGAAGCGGCCCAGAAACGATGATCTGCGTGCGTCGAACCGTCTCGCCTCCCACGTGGAGGACAACGGCACCAGGGCTCTCGGCAGCGCCCAGGATGGTTGAAATCTGTGTAGAAATATTTCTCACACGGGCACCAGGAAAGCAGAAAGTACGTACTTTATTACCTTTTGAGGAGGCGGCACGGATGTGACGAACGATCGAGTCACCGATGATGGCCACATCGGGACCCGACTCGCGGAGAGGGGAGAAGCGGTTCTCCGTGGAGATCTCGAACACGGGAGGAGACGTTCTGCCCCGAGATCTGGGAAGTACCTTGCGCGGCTGCACCCAGGCGCCCGCGCCCCGGGTGCGCTGGGCCTGGACAGAGAAGGACGCGAGGTTGAGGTAGAGGGAATGATGCGGTTGTAATTTCCACGTACCTTAGGTGATGAGACGGCCTTAGCATTAGGTACAACAAGGAGTTGTTCCCGTAGCCTCGACCGTCTCACCAGAAGAGCACGGATCTGGGACTCCACTTCTTTCAGCTCCAGCTCCAACGCCTCCATCGATGCTTCTCCTGCACACAAGGGCAGAGACGGAAGCGACATTTTATGGGGTAAAGAGCAAAGCCAGTAAGTCAAAAGTGTATGGTATAAGAGGTCGGTAGCTTTAGCTGACCAGCGGCGCTAGCAGGCTAAAGCTACAAACAACAGGCGGATGCTCGAGGGTTTTGTTTGTATAAATGTATTAAGGGTTTGGTCACCCTAAGTAGGAGAGACAAATACTTAGCGAATGAGGAAGAATTTTATGATTAAGATTTAAATTGCGAGTAAATAGCAAGTCCAAACTTCAAGCACACGCAGTATGTGACCGAACGGAGACAGTGACGCCAATTAGTTTGTCCCATTATTGTAACCCCCATCCAAATTTATTGATATTATTGCTCATATATGTTTGCAGTAGGTATGACAAAAAATAGTTTTCAAACAAACAATTTCTTTATTAGTTTATCCAGATATGTAAAATATAAATGCAAAATTCAGGTTCCTGGCCACCACCATCTTTCAGGATCTGAAGTGGAACATTCACATAGACTCTGTTGTGAAGAAAGCCCAGCAGAGACTGTACTTCCTTCGTCAGCTGAGGAAGTTCAGCCTTCCACAGGACTCAGGAGCTGCTCGTACAGTTCTACTCAGCTGTCATTCAATCCATCCTCTGCACTTCAATCACCGCCTGGTTCGGCTCAGCTACCAAAACCGACCTCCGTAGACTACAGCGAATAGTCCGGACTGCTGAACGTATCACTGACACTACCTTTCCTACTCTTCCAGAGTGAGTAAAAGGGCTCGCAAAATCACTGTGGATGCCTCACACCCAGCACACTACCTGTTTGAACTGTTACCATCTGGTCGGCGCTTCAGAGCACCAAGCACAAAAACAACCAGACACAGGAAAAGTTTCTTTCCTCAGGGTATCTACCTCATGAACAGTTAAATATCCCCCAACTGTGCAATAAACATGCAATACTTTCTCATACGCACTTGTACACAGAACCTTATATTGACATAAAATGCAATACTTTCTCCATTTGCATTTGTACACATCACCATATAACCAGTGTATTTATAACAAATCTGTACATACAATTCAACATCCAGATTTCTTGACTAACTGCATCTCTGTTTAATGTTTATCGTCTTTCTTTTTTCCATATTTGTTTTGTGTTGTCGCTTGTCACTTTATGTACACTGGAAGCTTCTGTAGCCAAAACAAATTCCTAGTGTGTGTGAAGCACACTTGGCAATAAAACTGATTCTGAAAACATCAGTGGGCCATTTGTATTGGGTACACTTGGGGTATTGGGGAGTCATATGCAAATGTCTTATTAATTTGGACAGCCTCATGCATTTGTTAACAAGAACTTTGTCACAGATGATGCACTGTGGCTGGGTAATGGACATTTTACTTCAAGAAAAAATAATAAAACCATAGTTCAGGTAAATATCTTGGTATTTCCTGGATTTCGTGTTTCCAGTATTGCTAGTGCTGTGACCTGAAATGTTTGGAGCTTCCTCACCTGGGTCCAGTATTCTGTTATGAATATGCTGTATGCTGAAGGTGAATCAGAGTATTATTATTATTATTTTTTATTTATTTATTTTTTCTGTGGAAGACGAATTACAAATTTCAGCCAGGAAATAAAATCAGCTAAGGCAAAATGATCATTCTCTTAATTGTCCACTGCTAATTCTTTTTTTTTTTTATATGACGCAACCCCCTACAGAGCTCGCAGAGACCCCTTTGTGGGCTGGGACCCCCTTGTTGGGAACCGCTGGTGTAAAATGCAGAGTTTCTCACTTGTAAACATTCATAGTTCAGAAAATTCACAGCCATATCACCCTGCAGCCCAAGAGCAGTTACTTACTGAAGCTAAGCAGGGCTGAGCCTGGTCAGAACCTGGATGGGAGACCACATGGGAAAACTAGGTTGCTGTTGGAAGTGGTGTTAGTGAGGCCAGTAGTGTGTGAGTCCTAATGCCCCAGTATAGAGAAAGAGACTTCTAAGTGCTGTCTTTTAGATGAAACGTTAAACCCAGGTCTTGACTCTCGGTGGTTATTAAAAATCCCATGACACTTCTTGTAAAGAGTAGTTGTGTAACCCCTGTGTCCTGGCCAAATTCCCTACATCGGCCCTTACCTATCATGGCCTCCCAATCATCCGCATCTACCAAATTGGCTCTCTCACTGTCTCTCCACTCCACCAATAGCTGGTGTGTGGTGAGCGCACTAGCACCGTTGTCCTGTGGCTGCCATCGCATCATCCAAGTGTATGCTGCACACTGGTGGAGGTGAGGAGAGACCCCCCCCCCCCCCCCCCCCCTCATGATTGTGAAGCTCTTTGGGTGTATGGTCATACACGATAAATGTGCACAATAAATACACATTCCTTACTACTTACTATGTCCAATCCAGCTCCTGGAGGACCACAATTTATAATAAAAGGACCAGCTTCTTTTATAATAAAATACACCTGTACTAGTTAGTCATGGTCTTAGTAGGCTTAATGCAAACTCCAATTCAAATTCACCAAAAAAACTGACAAAAATAAGACAAACACAACAGTTCAATTGACACAATTTTATTTCAATTCAACAATACATTTTTGGCCGCAACACCGCAAGACGCAAATATTGCTGCCTCAAGCTCTGGCACCAGACAATAGTAGAAGCAAAGGACTGGAGAGGTGGTGAGGCCACTGGTGTTAGCATGCCTGGCTAATCAGCTCTTCCTGCATGACCAGGACCGGGCGCTCATCCTCCATGTCTGATGATGTGATCTAAAGCAAAAACATAATAAGGTTTATTGTCCTCAAAAAATTGACATTTTGAAACAGTTTTTGTGGATCTTATGTACCGTAAACCAGTCGTGAAGGAGGATCTGCTCTAGTGTTATCCTCTCGCTGGGATCGGGATGCAGACAGGCATTTATGAGATGGCTGCATTCTGAAAGACAGGAATAATGTTTGACTATTTCTTTAAACATCCTTTAGATCTCCTGATGGCATTTTGGATATCTGAGCCAAGTGGCTTTGTAAGACACTTTTTTGGATTGTTACTATTTTTTCAAGTTCTTACCACAAGACAAAGATGGCAGATACCACAGCCAGTGCTGCATCTTTTCCCGATCCGTGTGGTCTGGCATATAACCGCACACCATAGTGTATAGCAGCACTCCAAGCGAATACACAGTTGCCGGCCGTGCAAAGTATTTGCCCGTCTCGAAAAATTCCGGAGGGCAGTACATCTCTGTGCCTGGAGGAAAGAGATTAGCATGTCTGAGTTACAACAGTTTGTTTTTACTGTATTCAGCAGCTTGTGTGTCATGACACTACAGTTTTAATACTGTACATACCACTAAAAGTGTGGTACTCTGTTTCATGGAACAGGTTCCCACAGCCGAAGTCAATCAGGGTGACATCCATGGTTTCAGTGTTGATTATCAAGTTCTCCAGCTTTATATCTCTGTGTAGAACTCCGCGCCGGCAGCAGGTCTCAGCTGCCTTGATGACCTGGCGCATCATATACCGAGCAAACCTTTCTTCAAAGATGTTCCCACAGCTCTCCAAAAGCTTGAACACACTCTGGCATGGTGAAGGGCGCTGCAAGACCATTATGTAATGGTCTGGAAATTCCTGCCAATCCAGAAGCTCGATTATGTTGGGTGAGCTGGGACCCTTGTTTGCCATGAGTGTGAGGCCGATTTCAAGTGGTACAAGTTCTGGAAGGCCAGGCTAGTGGAAAGAGTTTTTAGGATGGTTAAATTAAGGTGGTTTGCACAACATGTTTATAATTTGTTTATTGAGGGATAGTTTGCTGTCTATGATTAACATTGTCAGTAAAAGCAAAAACAGAGAGTTAAAGAGTTAAAGAAGATCACACAGAGACGACAGTCTACTTACAACGTAGAGATATTCCATGCCCTCCATTTTTTTGGCAAACTTGATTGCCACCTGATCAACAAAACAGAATTTAACAGTTAGCACTGGATTACTTCAGGCCATTCAATAATCCGTGTTGAAATTCTAGTCATGAATTTGTAGCATATTTGGTCTGGTTGACCATTTATCAAGGGCTCTAATTGTGTTACAAAAGACAAAGCATTACACATACATACATGTATAGTTTGTTAGGCTGATCATGCAAAAATATATATAAATATACCGGAAGACCATCATGGGCACGGACACCAGCATACACGGCACCAAATCCTCCTTCTCCCAGTAGCTCACCCATTTTGTAGGTCCAGCACATGCCTGCTCAAATATAATTAGTTTTAGAGACAGATTCATATTCTACAATGCAAAACTTTATTACCACTTTATACACCATTACGTCACTAAAACATAATGCATAAACATCTAATCCTTTCAAAAAGTGAAAGCATCAAGCAGCCATAATTAATATGAACTTACTCCCAATAATCAAGACCATGTCTTGGCTTGGGGTTTCTGCCAGAGGACACACAGTTTCTTCCTCTGACAGATCATCTGGAAACTCCAGGACTTGCTCGTCAACAGCGAAGAGAGGAATCTCAAAACTACTGTTGGGAGTGTTCTGAGGACCATAACTCTCTAAAGAAGACATGGTCTCCACTGAAGTTTGATCTAAAGAGGGAAATATAACAATATAAACACACAAACATTTCAATACTGCTACAAATAATACATTTATAGTATTTACAAAGACAAAACTGAAGAGTTCAGATACTCAAACATCTGCACATCTGAACATTTGAACTCTGCAAATGTTTAAAGCTATGATGATCTTCTTTAATGATTAAGTTCAGTACACACAAAAGATGAAGTGATTTACCATCACTAGAAGTTTCTTCCTCCAGCTCCACATTCTCACACTGTTCCTGTATTTGCAGGTCAATGATGGAGGAAGGAACCTCAAGGCTGTTAGGAGCTTGCTGGTAGTCATGATGCTCAACAGTGCTTGAGATGTTTCCTACTGAGGTTTGATCAAAAGAGGGGAACATACATTCAACATTTACTTTAATAAAAACACACAGAAACGTTTCAATCCTTTTACAAATACATATATTTGCAGGGACAATATTTTAAAGCTATGGTGATCATTTTTTTTCAGTCACACAAAAAAAAAGGGATTTACCATCAGTAGAAGGTCCTTCTTGGATGACTGGCTTCACCTTCTCACTGTCCACCTGCTCCACCTTTTCACCCCTTCCAGTTCTTGGGCGTGAAAAGCGGAACAGCTTTCTCCAAAAACTCGATTTTTTCTTCGCTTTCTTTTTCTCCTTTACCAAACTCCCTACTCTATCTTCCTCACAAGGAACACGTCTCTCATCAAGCTGATGGTTTTCTTGACGAGGCGTGTCATTATTTAACTGAAGTGGTGTACTAGGATGGAAACTGTACACACACTCCGACTCTGTCGCTATATTCAGACAAGAAATTCGCTGACCCATGATAAAACAAACGCACTGTCTACCTCCAAACTACCCACTAAAACTAAATTACACCGTCATTCCTTAACATTCCACTTTGACGTTCTAATTGTGACATCAAATAGAATGCTTGTCCTTGAGATCATTTTGTTTTGTTTTAAAATTTGCTGGACTATTGCATACATAATACCTCACAATTCTTATAGTAATGGCTAAAATAAAACTAAAATAAATATTAAATCATATTATAAATGTAAATCTACTTGTTTTAATACTGGTTCAAACATTTATATTAATATTTAATTCCGTACTTCTGCAATTGCTGTGTCGCTAGTACTTTCTTATTGGTTGTATTCTCTTTCTCAACCACTTGAGGGCGGCAAGTATCATGGTATCTGAACAGAACTGCTAGTCCACATAACTTCATGAGCTCAGTGGGAGTAGTCTACTTGAAGAGTTTTATTTCTTTTTGTATGTAAAACAATTTTAATTAAATACAATAGATTTCCAAAAGTTTGTGTAAAATATGAAGGTCAGCCTGGTTTTGATCCAATTTGTGATGGGTGTCAACAAGCTCCAGCCACTCTTTCTGACATACTTTCTGGCTTTTTCCAGCACTAAGCACTTTTTGGGCATCAATTTTTAAATACATTTCTGAATGTTTTCTTTTAGATATCAAACCACACACCCTAGTAGCATTATTTAGACGTTACCCTACAAATGTTTTCTTGTCATCTTCACAGTCTAATGCACTTGCTATCTGTTTAATAATTGCTAAAAGGCATATAACACTGAAGTAGAAAAATCCTTCTCCGCCCAGTTATGTGCATTGGATGCATGATCTGATGCACTCTATTCAAATAGAAAAAATTTGGTATACAGATTGCAATATTAGAAAAAAATTTGACTACATTTGCCAAAATTTCCTCTTTCATTTTCCTGTTAAAAATGGAGAGCACAGACAAAATATATATGTTTATATATTTATGTTTATTTTCTTTCTTCCTTCTTTTTAAAATTATTTTTAAAATTAATAAAAAAAATTTTTTACTGCTGTACCGTTTGCATATTTGTATATTTTGCTATATGGCCTAGCGTGTTACTTTTATCCATAACGTTATTTAATTTATCTCCATTTTATCAGTTGATGTCTTGTGATTCTTTGTATTTAATACTGTAACTCTCTGACTAATAAGCATCAATAAAACAAAGTTAGGCTAAAATAAGAAGGTCATAAGCTGGGAAATGTACAGTACAGCTGTTTTGATAGGCCTACTTGCTTTGAAATTAGGCTTGTTTCAATTAGCTATTTACAAGTTATGAAGATGTATAAATTATGTCATCCAACAAGAAGTCTCTAATATGTAATACAGTTTAAAAGAGAGTCACTCGGATGAGAAACACTGCATACGAGTGATATTTCTGTTTTATCTCTTGATATATATATATATATATATATATATATATATATATATATATATATATATATATATATATATATATATATATATACATACACATATATATATATATATATATATATATAGAGAGAGAGAGAGAGAGAGAGAGAGAGAGAGAGAGAGAGAGAGAGAGAGAACACTTACTGGCCACTTTATTAGGTACACCTGTCAAACTGTTCATTAACACAAATTTTTAATCAGCCAATGACATGGCAGCCACTCAATGCATTTAGGCATGTAGACATGATCAAGACGATCTGCTGCAGTTCAAATCGAGCATCAGAATGGGAGAGAAAGGTGATTTAAGTGACTTTGAATGTGGCATGTTTGTTGGTGTCAGAAGGGCTGGTCTTGGTATTTCAGAACTGGTCCGAAAAAGAGAAAATATCCAGTGAGTGACAGTTCTGTTACAATCCTCGTTACAATCAAATTATGCAGAAGAGCATCTCTAAACGCACAACATGTCCAACTTTGAGGTAGTTGGGTTACAGCAGCAGAAGACCACACCGGGTGCCACTCCTGTCAGCTAAGAATAGGAAACCAAGGCCATTTAAGAAACAACGAAATCCTTTTGAGCAGACAGATCATTGAGTGTTGTGAATCGTGAATATTTTGTTTCTGAATGAGTTGCATGGTTTTCTTGAGTCAGCTCATCTGAGGGTCCACACAGAGCCGCAAACCCATTTTTTGTGGCAAAACTGTTAGAAGGAAAAGAGTTCAGTTACTCCACAGAGAAGCTGCACAAGCCTAATATAATTCCTAATATGTTAATTTAATATATTAATTTCTATCCATCCGTCACAAAAAAAATAGAAGTTATGGATATTAAAACATAAGCAGTGGATAAACTCATAAATAAATGCAGCCTTGGTGAGCAAGAAAAGCTTATTTTAAAACATTAAAAATCCTACTGACCCTAAACTTTTGACCAGTAGTGTGTGCATTCAATGCCCAGGGTAAGGAATACACATACAGATTTTTCAGATACTTCGTCTTGCTTTTTAAATGAATCCTTTTTGTGGAATCTTAAGCAATAAGATATTTAGCAAAATTTGGTTTCTTGGTTTTTTGTTAGATTAGTCAGTGTCAAAAGCAAAAGTGGAACAAAATCATTTAATATCATTTAAGATTTAAAAAAAATGAGTACATCCAAATTAAAGAGTTTGGGGAAAAACATAAATATCAAAAAATTAAATTATGAGCATATAAATATTTGGTTTAGTTTAATTTATTAGAATAATTTATTAGAATAACACTGCATATGAACTAAAAGTTATTTTTTTCTCATCTTAATGATTTTAGATGACCACGCACACACTTGTACAGTTGAAGTCAGAATTATTAGCTTTTACTAGATAATTATTAGCCCCTCTTCGAATTTTCTCTATTAAATATTTCTTAAATGATGTTTAACAGAGCAAGGAAATTTTCACAGTATGTCTGATAATATTTTTTGTACTGGAGAAAGTCTTATTTGTTTTATTTCAGCTAGAATAAAAGCAGTTTTTATATTTTTTTAAAAACATTTTAAGGATAAAATGATTAGCCCCTTTAAGCTATATATTTTTTCGATAGACTACTGAACAAACAATCGTTATATAATAACTTGCCTAATTACCCTAACCAGCCTAGTTAATTAACCTAGTTTAGGCTTTAAATGTCACTTTAAGCTGTATAGAAGTGTCTTGAAAAATAGTCAAATATTATTTACTGTCATCATGGCAAAGATAAAATAAATTAGTTACTAGAAATGAGTTATTAAAATGATAATGTTTATAAATGTGTTGAAAAAAATCTTCTCTCCGTTAAACAGAAATTGGGGAAAAAATAAACAGGAATAACTGTATATTGTTAAAGAATGTTTTGTAAATGTTTGCGATATAAATTGTTTATATTTAATGAGAAATTGATATATATCCTAATTTTCCTGTACATATGCTAGGCACTGTATGTTGTTTTGTTTTTGCAGTGGTCATCAGATGTAGGTTAAGTGTCAGAAGTTAATTAGATATTGATTTATTAGCTATATGTAAGTGGATAAAAGTGATGATATATTTCTAAAATATCTATATTAAATATACACTTATAAAAATTAAAAATCTATCATTGATCATTTAAATTAATTATAAGCAGCTGATTTATTTAGGCTGAAAAGGAAGGTTGGTTTGGTTCACGAAAAAGTATAACCAAAAATTATTCATAATTTTATTTTTCATTAAAATATAAACATTTTTAATGTCCAATTTTAATGACTTAAGTTCACCATTATCAATAAAATAATCTGTAAAAGAAATTAATTGAAGTAAACTGTGTTGTCTCAGAATAAGCGCTTGTTTCTCGACCCTCACCATCAGGGCATTTCCCATGTGAAAGAGAAGCTTCATTTCATGCAGATGGAGAATAAGGCCAAACACACTCAACTGGCGCAGACAGACACACTGGTGGCTCTCAAGCGTGAAGTGCTGACACGAACCCGACAGGTCCGCGATGGCCTGCGCACAGATAATCTGAAGCTTCAGCAGCGCTCTGGTTTGCTGGGAAACACCACACTGCTGCAGGACTATGAGGAGAAGATGGACACGTCTGAAAACCTCCAGCAGAAGCTCGAGATGCTAAAGAAACATCACGCTGAACTCTCAATGAAGTGTGCTGGAGTCCAGAGGAAGATTAAAGACAGCCGATTAGAGAGACAGTGACCCCTTCAGCCAGCTGTTTCTGTGCTTTACATCATTTATTGTCTACATAACTTCACATAGTATATCTTCTGCAAGACAATAAAGTTTATACAATGATGAATTTTTGTGCAATCGAGTGAAATAATGTCATTTAAAATAGTATACAGAGTCATACATACACATACATACATACATACATACATACATACATATATATATATATATATATATATATATATATATATATATATATATATATATATATATATATATATATATATATATATATATATATATATATATATATATATATATATATATATATAAACAGTTAAAGTCAGAATTATTAGCTCCGTTTCTGTTTAACGGAGAGAAGATTTTTTTCAACACATTTCTAAACAATAGTTTTAGTAACTCATTTGTAATAACTGATTTATTTTATCTTTGCCATGATGACAGTAAATATTATTTTACTAGATATTTTTCAAGACACTTCTATACAGCTTTAAGTGACATATAAAGGCTTAACTGGGTTAATTAGGTTAACCAGGCAGGTTAGGGTAATTAGGCAAGTATTTGTATAATGATGGTTTGTTCTGTAGACTATCAAAAAATGTACCTTAAAGGGTCTAATAATTTAGTGCCTTAAAATGTTTCCTTGTTTGTTTGTTTTTTTTTATTAAAAACTGCTTTTATTCTAGCCAAAATAAAACAAATAAGACTTTCTCTAGAAGAAAAAATATTATCAGACATACTGTGAAAATTGTCTTGCTCTGTTAAACATCATTTGGAAAATATTTAAAAAAAGAAATAAAATTCAAAGGGGGGCTAATAATTCTGACATCAACTGTATAAATATATACACATACAAAGGCATAAAGTGCTAGGAAGAACCAAAAATAATCAGGCAATTAACCTTATTCTACAATTCTGTAGTATATTTCTTTTTCTGCAATTGTTCTTCAGATTAAGTTGCCTAGGGGGGAAATGACTAGAAATAATAAACTAAAATAAATGCTCAAGCTACTCTCTCTTGTGTATTCATGACAAAACATTCATTCATTTATCTATTCATTTCCTTCGGCTTAGTGTAACTGATTGTCTGGACTGCCTATTTTGTGCACTTCAAAAATGAATCTGACATCATTACATGCCATTTTGGCATTCATTGATGTTAAAGTTATTTAAATTCATCTAAAATATAATCAATTAATTTAGTCCTTAAAGAAGTTATTTCTTCGCAAACAGAGTATATAAGTTTATGGATAATGCCCAAGAAATTTTAGAATTGTTATCTTTATTTTCCAAGAAACTGACCACTTTAGATGGATGTTCTTACTGTATGAGGCCTTTTTATTTATTAGTAATTAATATTGATATATATTAACATCACTTTTTTAAAATTAGTTACCATTTTTTTACGCAGAAATATTTGTTTATCATTTCTCATTGCTATTATGCTAACACAACTGAGGGATATAACAAAAACAACAAAACAATGAACTTGTCAGTTTTATTGACATTTTGTGAAATGTGTAGTTGTTATACCAGTAAAAACAAGCAATTTCATACTTTCTTCAACACTCATTCGCATCATTTAATCTCTACATAACTTCACATAGCATATTAAAAATGCTGGGTTGACATAATCTAATGTTGGGTAAAAAAAATGGAAAAATTGGTTTAATTTTTTTTTTTTTTCAATTAAATAAAAATAAAAATTTTGTATACATATTTTGCTCAACATTGTTTTATGGCAACCCAGCATTTTTTTCAGAATGTATATTATTATTGTTCTAGTTTTAAAAGAAAATAGTTTAGGATTTAAAGCAAATGATTAGACATCTCAAGCGCAAAAATATCATGCCGTCATAAAACAATAATGAAAAGAATGATCACAAAGATACTGAGCTCAATTAAGAAACATTGAAATCCTTCTTATGAGCAGACAGATTTAGTCACTAAATATTACTGTCATCAATGATTTGGATGGTTTTCTTGACCCAGTTCAGCTTAGGTTCCACACAGAGCCGCAAACCCTTCTGTGTGACAAAACTGTTAGAAGGAAGAGAGTTCAGTTACTCCAGAGAAAACTTAATGAATTCCCATTAACCATGATGGTACATTTCACAACTAAAGTTTATTGCAATCATTTGCATCTTTCCTTCATTACTCCAGGCATAGTGCAGTCCACTCTTGTCAGACTGTAGGAATTAATTTTACTCAGGGGGATTTTTCTTTTGAAAAAATTATAACAGCAATCAG